TATTCAAATACTATGCGAAGTATTCGAATACCTTGCGAAGTATTCGAATACTAAATATTTGTGAAAGTATTTTAGTTATAAAAACAAATACTGCATTCATAAAAGTATTTAATTACAAAGTATTGGAATACTTTAAAGGATTTGAATACTAAAAAGTATTTACAAAATCGAATACTGCCCAGCTCTGCTCAATACCCGTAATTTGTTTCTCGGCAGAATCATTTCTAAACAAATTGCATCTTGCGCCTTTTATGCTAATAAAATCACCGCAACATTTTGTCCGCTCATTAGTATATCAATTTAGAAGATTATCTGTTTAAAAAACCGTACTCTACCAAATAAGGTCATAGAAATTAGATACCCTTGGGGCAGATAACTCCTCCCAGTTCGCAAGAAACCCCCCGGCACTTATTTATACAAGCTCACGCCGCCCAAATTAACATACTACGCAAAAAAGTATCCATTGTAAATACATAATGAATTACAGTATGTGAATTTGACAGATGAATGATTATATTCAACGCAAACGGGGGCTTTATTGAATAAACAAGAGGCGGCAGTCTTACTAAAAAAAATATGGTCCTTCTTTTTACGATACAGATAAAATTTTAACAGGCCTCTCGCGATCATTAATAAACCATTCCGTTTCAATACACACCCTGTTAGCTGGCGATTTAAATTTTTTGCCGTAGACAGCCCGAATGATACAAATTAACAGTACGTAAAATTCGGCGGCGCTAGAATAATAAATTTTAATTGTTGGGGTTGTTTTCAGGTTCATTATTACAGTTCGTTTCGCAAATGTGGTTAGAGAGAGGGGTTATTTTTGTGTCACGGTTGCATATTAATACGTTTATTACTAAATAATCGGTTATTCCCAATGGGGGTTTACAAATTGTAACAGTCCCAGTTGCGAATCAATTAGAGAGCCCTTTGCAACATTACACTAACCATTTTTTACTTTCTACGTCAGGCAAGGAGGGAATTTCTTTCCGATCCATTCAGACGAAGGTTCGACGTTTGAAATTTTGCTCATACTTTGCTGACATATAATAATGTATGAATGGAATTGTCACACCTTTGCTCTGCAGGCTCAAAGACGTGAGTGGAGTTAGAGGTATATATCGTGCAACGGTGCAACATGTGTTAAGAATAAGGGAAAAGATAATGGTGTATGCAAGAGGGCAGAGGTAAAGTTGGTCGTCACCAAATTTGAAAGCACAATAAAATTGCGCGTGTGTTACACAAGTGACAGACAGACGGACGGGCGAAAAAAACTTAAACAATAGCGCATTTTTTTATTCCAGCACTCTACATAAAAAGGATACATATTGTTTAATACAAATAATTATTTCCCACCTCTGAAAAAGGCTGTTCTTGTGGCCTTCCGAAGATTGTCTCTTTATGCATTCATTGGCGCGAATAATAAGCATACGACCAAAATTATGATTAATACATTTCCGAAATTCTCTACGCAGTAGTGCAGGTATAATGTAATTTATAGTGGAAACGATGATAATAGCTTAAAATGATTTCCACAAAGTGGCAGGCTCATTTATTAAAGGTGTTCTAATTCGCCTAATTTTGGGAAAGGCATGAATTTGCATCAATATAATTTAGCATTTGTAGTGTTGAACAGACAAATCTAAACTACTTCCCCACATTTAACATTATAATGCAAACGCGCGTACTTCTGCAGGTTAATACGAGCTGAATACACAATGAAACGCAGGAAAATGTCTACTGTTAATTGTGACGCTTGGTACAGTCAACTCCGGGCCATATTTCAGCCTGTAGTAGACATTTTCGAGCTACGAAGTGGGAACTAACTTTGCTCTTACCTACTAATCAAAGTTTTTATTAAAGGCGCACGGTTGCGAGCTTTCGATAATATTCCGAAAGTCTGTTAAAGTGTAACGAGAAAATAACAACTTGCTTAGGCGGAGTACTTAGTGTCGTTGAGAATTACCTCTCTCTCTCTCTACGCCAGTCTAAGCCCTTACATAATTAAATTTTTCTAGTACCCACCCGTCAGGAAAACTCGGCGCTCGCACTTCAATAATATATCTGGCAAGTTACTCACCTCAAAGTTGTACGAAACTAACTTTACATTAAGAAATACCTTCGAGGAAATTGTTACGATGAAGTTTGTTATTCACAAGTTTTGTCCACGTCTCATCTCAAGTTACGTACAGAATCCTATAAGTTTGCCTAAACTTGTGCAAGTAGTACAATTAAGTAAACAATGATGCGTTTTCGGGGCACTTAACTTCACCTTTTCAAAACTTAATCGCATACTACTATCCTGAAATTACTATTTCTTCCAAGGAATCGTGTAAAGCGAGGGTAAAAACTGGAAGCAAAAACTAGACCCCTTAATTCTCTTGATATTTTAGCTTTCTGAAGCTGTCAACGAGTGTATTAAAAAAACTGTAAGTGATTTTTATGTTTTTCCTTATTAATCGGTGATCGAACACCTGCGCGTGGGGTAAAGGTAAGAACGGGCTTGTGCCTCTCTGTATTTCTTTTTCTTGACGATTTTCTACGAATGTGTTTCGGAATAAATTATTTTTATTGTCATTGTCAATAAATTAGTTGTGTGTTTATTTGAATGCATCTTAAATGATACATAGTTTACTGTAATTGTCACTTAGGGATCATTTTTTTGTTTTTGAGATATCTGTATAGGGAGGGATACAGGATAGATTGGCTGGACTATTTTGAAATATGTGATATCGAATTGGTGCGCTAATTTTCATGATCAAGTTGAACAGAGGCACATTCGCTTTACAATAACGAAAACAAAATTAGAAATGCGTGTTTCGGGCGCGCTACAGTTCATAAATTCTTATCAAATAATTAATTAATTATCAACCAAAAGCACCTCGACATCAGAAAGGCTGAAGCAGTTTTTTAATCCAGTAAGGAACTCTTTTCAATCTGGGCAGAACAAAAGTCAACTCGGTGCAACTCCAGGGGGAATCATTAGGTACGGATAGGTAATAAGGTAAGATACGAAGAATTCCCGTTAGTTTGAGCTACTCGGTGCAACCCATATTTTGATAAATTTTAAAGTAGTAAGTTCAAATTATCTACCCGCTACAATTGCCGCTCAAACGGGGGGGGGGGGGGGGGGTTAAAAAAGGAAATCGTTACAGAAGTTCCTTTAAATGTACCAAATATTAATACAGGCCATTTGTGCTCAAACGGGCATCTAGCGGGAAAGTTGTGGGGTAGTTTTGATTTCTTTGATTCTATATGTTTTTTGGGGTGCTGAATCCGAATCTGAGGTTTGCCAACAAAATTTCATGACGCAACATTGAAAAAAATACAAAAGAAGTTGAAAAAGATATTTTTTTGGCAGTTTTGTGCTTACAACTTGAAAACTATCAACTTTTCGAAAATAACCTTCCTATTCAAAATGAAAGTACTTAAAATTTCCTACAGACCCCACTATTTAGTTTTTTTCCTCGATGAACCGTTCGGGCTCGAGCGCCAGTTGAAAATTGGCGTATTTCGGCTGTATCCGCAAATACTCATCATTTATTATTATTTTATTATTATTCTGTGCAAATATAAATCCGTACTTTTCATTGTCTACCGGTCTCCTCAAAAGATTTTATAACTGTTCCGTCTGGTATAAAACTCTCCCACTCCTTCACAGATGAGCCAAGGCCCATTACGTCCCCGTGTACCTACGTTTGCAGTCTCGAGGCCCTCCTCCCATACACATACATACACAAGCGCACAAAGTTACACAGATGGACGGACGGACAGTCCAAAATCATGAACTCGCTTTTTGTCGCTGGCTAACATGTAAACAGAAAAGAAATAAATCGGGTTCAGTTGTTAGCAGACATAACTTGCGTTACCCCACTCCGAGAAGTACGTGATTCTTCAGAACACCGGAGCAAGAGGGAATCAGCCCTATGCAGTAAGTACATTGACATTAAGTCAAGCTTGAAATGACGTCATAAGATTGACATATGAAAGACATTTCAATAAATATGGCGGATTGGTATGCAGAATAGCACTGTACTCAATTTATTGAAATTTTCCTATTTCAATATATTGAAATCAGGTCAATTGACATATAGTTCGTATGCTCTAAGACAAATCCTTGAAGTATTCCTATCTCAACATTGAAAAAAGTCAATAATTATATAGTCTTGAAAAACTTTGCCCGTTAAGGAACTAAAATAAAGTCAAGAATATTTCGTAACTGAAATTTGTGTAGTATAGCAACTGTTGAGTTTTGTTTGAGCCAAATTAACTCAAAATATAATTAAACTTGCGTGGTTTTTACATCAATTAATCCTTTTCGTTAGTGAACTGTGACATCTGAGGTAGTGTAATCAAAATGGAACTAGTTTTTATTATTGACGTACTTGAAAACGAAATTGTCAGGTAAGACACAAGACTGAACTAATAAAGAACATGAAAATAATGCTTTTAACAGACGCCAATTGAATCTACAACGTCGACAATTGAGAGATCATAGTGATCCTTTAACTTTGCCTGAAATTACTTTTAAAGGTTTGTTTCGCATATCAAGGCAGCTAGCTCAATGGGTACTTGATCAAATTCTTCCACATATGAGGGATTCAGCACGCACAACAGCCATCCCTAAAGGTCTTAGGGTAAGTAACGTGTTGTCAAGTGCAATGCTAGTTTTTGTTTAACTTTAGTTTTTTGCTGCATTACACTTTTTAAGTCATGGATCATATCAAAGAGGGGTAGGTCAAGATTACCTGACAAGCATGCATCAAACTTCAGTAAGCAGATGTCTTACAGAAGTAACTGACATTTTAGTACAAGTATTAGGCCACCTCATAAAGTTCCCGGAAACTGAAGTGGAGAAAAACCAGGAAAAACAACGGTGAGTTGGGAATTAATTAATTGAAGTACAAGATTAGTAACATGTATACAACCAGCTGCATTTGAGATTGCCATATAGAACAATTTGAAAACATGAAACCATTGCAATCATGATGACCGCTTTTAGTGTTGCAATTGCTAATCTATAGGTACTTATTTATTTGCTTTGAAACAAGATATACCTTCTACATAATTAAATATCTATGTACCATAACTTGTTTCAGTTTTGTAGATAGTGGTGGATTTCCAGGAATAATTGGATGTATTGACTGTACACAAGTTGCTATCATAGCCCCAAAAACAGAAGACCCAGAAATGCCCGGTGTTGTATTTTACTGTCGAAAACAATACTATAGCTTAAATGTTCAAATAGTAAGCAAAATAAATAGTTTCTTAGCAACCAATGTACTATCTACTGAATTTTTTGCAGATTTGTAATACAAAGTTAAAAATTTTAAACATAAACGCAAGATTTCCGGGATCTGTGCACGATTCTGCCATTTGGCAGACATCATTGGTCAGAAGGCACTTAGTGAACAACTTTAGAGGAAATGGTCGTCAAATGACATATCTGTTAGGTATGCACATTTTAATGTTGTTGTTTACTTCACCAGTTACATACATTATAGGAGACGCAGGGTACCCCTTAGAGCCTTGGCTGTTAACACCAATAGCTAATCCAGTTACTAATAGTGAAAGAGAATACAATCGCCGACATAAAACAATCCGAAATATCATAGAAAGAACAAATGGTCTATTAAAACAAAGATTTAGATGCCTTCTCAAACATCGAACCTTGCATTATGCTCCTGAGAGAGCAGCACAGATTATTTATGCTGCTGCTATCATGCACAATTTGTGTATTGACAGGAATGAATATTTAGGTGACATAAATGGTATGTTGTAACTGCATAAGTGTATTGTATAGTTATTTGTTAAAAATGTTCTTAGATAATTGTCATGAAGAAGAAAATAACAATGAAGTAAACAATAACAATCAAAATGCGGATGAAGAATTAGATCTTCCTGAAAGAAACGTTTTACACCAAGGCCGTATTGTAAGAAATAGAGTAGTAGAAAATTACTGTTTGTAAAAAAAAGTTAAGTTTTATTCTTGTATTTTTATAAAATTTACAATAGCATCATCCAGCGCTTGGAGACTGTTTTTTATAAGTAATAAACTATTAACTAGCTTTTTTGAATTGTCTTTAATAAGGTTACGCAAATCCATTGGTACCTCTAAAAAAAATAAAGTCATTTTATAAAAATTAATGAAGTCATACTTAAATGTCTTTTACGCTTGTAGAGCTTTCTCGCAACAATAGTTGGTGGAGCCCTTTTCAATTTTTTGCATTTTAAAAACCCAAGTTCTATAACTTTAGGGTGGCCGTATATTAATACTTTACTTAAAACTTCCAACAATCTTCTTTCCAAATCATTTAAAATTTCAATAATTGGAACCCCACCTCCCGTGATCTCACGCTCCATGTAAATACGCCTTGCTTTGGCCTTCACCTTCGATTCCCATTCGCTGAAAATCTACCAAACTTGGAAAAGTTTCAAAAAAAAGATGATGCTTATGTACCTTTTTCCAATTTAAGGTCGACCGTTTCGGGCCATTTCTTATTGTATTGAGTTCCGAACATAGAGTCTCAAACGCTTCTTCATTATGATGTTTGCATTTTTTAAAATGAATGTACATTTCATATTGTTCAGATAAGGTCTTTTTTTTAATTGCTGTAAAAACATCAGACTTCATTTTGTAACCATTATATTATAAACATAATTCAACACATAAAACGTAAAAAAACTGAAATAACATTCTCATAAACATAATTGGTAGAGTATTTAATAATTTATAGCCAATGATTATGGTATGTTATAACTTGAAACTAGTTTCAGTGGTGTGAACAAATTTATATTAAATATCACACAACTGAACCTCAAAACATATTTACAAAATTAAGCCTATTTTGAAACTATTGCTGTCTAATTGAAATAGCAACAGCAATATTATTCAGTGCATCTGCCACCGAGTGTATAGCTGTTGCTATTTCACGTAGCCCTTCATTTGTCGAGGACAGATGATCATTTAATAATACTGAAAATAAAAAGTTTACTATATAAAGCTCTTCTTTATAAAGTTATGTATGCTGGATGATACTTACAATATGTTGATTTTGGTTTGGATTTTGATTTTGAAGTAACGGGAACATCATGTGAGCCTGTTTCTCTATCGGCGTCTTCGTCATTTACATTTACAGCATTATTTTCCTTTACATTCTCCTCCACAGTCTCCTCAGCAACTTCATCTTGAAGGGGTTCCTCTGATTTTCCTATAATTAAACTAATTTACTTGTTTGATAACAGTCCTTTGTATCATATGAAACCACACTTCAAGAAAAAAATGTATATCTGAGGCTTATACGATGCCACTTATGTATATTATATTTATGTTACTCAGGTTTACCTTGTGAAGGTCCATTTTATTTATTATTTAAAAACTTACCCTGCGGCTCCACTCCCAACTCTTCAACAGAGCTCATGCCGCTGCATAACACATTCAATCCAGCAATTTCGGCACATTTCTTTTCAATGGCATTTAAATCCTTACCATTCCTAATTTTTGATTTTATGTGCGATTTCATCTCCACGAATGCCTGTATAAATAAAAAAATTAGTGAATAAATCATCATAGTATTTGTATTCCAGTACCTTTTTCCAACCTTCAGGAGTTTTCTCCACTCCTCCTACAGAATTAAGAACTGCACCAATCCTGCTCCACTCTTCCTTTTTTTGATCAAGAGTACCCTTTCCCCACTTCAAACAACTAGATTCTCCAACCTGCTCCACTAGAAGCTGGTATTGCTCTTGTGTAGCCTTTTTGGGGGGCATCTACAAAACACACATGCTATATTACTGCATTTCATCAGCATTTATTTATTGAATTATGTTAATACATATACTTACTTCTGTTTAATTCTAATGCGAGCAGCAAAAAACCGATCACCAATTTTCGCGCAATCGATGTAAAGAAATGTAGGGTTAAATAAATTAAAATAACGTCAATAAGGTTAGGTTAAATGTATAATGAAGTTAGAAGTTGCAGAGAAAATGCGATGTTGCCAAATAAACGCTTGACTTAAATTTCAATCTTTATAAATTTCAATAACTTCAAGTCAAGTAGACATACAGCATACCGATTTTTTTCAAGATTGAAATAGAAAGTCAATTTTATTGAAATCATGCCAATGTTGACATGAAAGTCAATGTACTTACAGCATAAGGCTGATAATGCCGTTGAATAGGAAATCAATATACCCCTTTTGCCATTTGAATTTTTTGAATTAATAATGACCACAGCGCCACTTTCCCAAATTCAACAATAATTATCCAAACATGCTAAGGTAGGGTTTTGTGATTTCTTTATCTGGTTCGGAAGAGAGTGGGAATAGTTTTAGATAGCACAGTATAAGTATTATATATTATAAATAATATAATAATATGATATACTGTTGTTCGTTAGAAATTAACTTTTCATACAATTCTGGACTACAATAAACACCTTGAACGTTATGAAAATGAGAAAAAACCACATTTACATATAAAATTCAAATAATAATAGGTAAATGCAAGGAATTCACTTATTGACAACGCTTAATATTAATTTAGGGTTTTAGTGCGAAAAAACTATGTTTTGTGGAGACAGCCGAAATACGCCAATTTTCAACTGGCGCTTGAGCCCGAACGGTTTATCGAGGAAAAAAACTAAATAGTGGAATCTGTAGGAAATTTTATGTACTTTAATTTTGAATAGGAAGGTTATTTTCGAAAAGTTGATAGTTTTCCAGTTGTAAGCACAAAACTGCCAAAAAAATATCTTTTTCAACTTCTTTTGTATTTTTTTCAATGTTGCGTCATGAAATTTTGTTAGCAAACCTCAGATTCGGATTCAGCACCCCAAAAAACATATAGAATCAAAGAAATCAAAACTACCCCACAACTTTCCTGGTAAAAATACAATTTAACTGGATTATAGCGTACAGTGACTTAATTTAATACAGTCCCTGTAGCGTAGTGTAATCTATATTCTGTGGTAATATATAAGTCATAAGAAATCACCAATCACGTGTTACCTAACCTACTCGCATTCCTTAACCTCACTTTTCTATTATTAAAATTTGAAACTTTCTATTTTATTTTACCATAGTCTAGTCTAAGAGCTGTCAGTAGTGGTCCCAGTGTTGTTAAAATGTGTAGCGTTGGTGACGATGTAGATGAAGAAAAAGCAAAGTTTATGCAAAAGAAAATAACCCTAAACTTGTAAGCCATATTTATCTAATGATCCCAATATCTTTGTATTTTGAGGTAGATATCATGTTCTTTAATTGTTGTTTTAGTACCAACGCTCTATGCATTAAATGTCGAACTTTAAAACCGCAAGTTATATTGCACAACCAGTACCCTTACTGCAAAGCCTGTTTTCTCTCTGGCACCGTACATAAGTTTAAAGCGTTACTAGGTAAAAATCGAGTTGTTCAACCGAACGAAAGTGTGCTTATACATCATAAGGCAGGCCATGCAAGCACTGCTCTATTACATTTTTTAAGAACTGGCCTCGACTTGAACACACCTAAGAAGATACGTTTTAAACCGATTATTGCTTATATTGAAGGTATTGTTTTCATAACCGGTACTGAATTAATATTACACTTGATTTGTAGATAATTATGAATTAAATGTCGAAGATAGAACACATATATCACGTCAAGTCAGCGATGAAGCTGAAAGGTTAAATTTTCCAATAGTTTTCATTAATTTGGCACAGTATGTTACCAACAAGTCAAATTTGCCATCAATTGTGCATGAAAAGGTTGAAGATTTGAGGATAGATCCAGATGACAATATGAAAATTAGGGCTGCTGTAAAAAGTAATTCAACCTTAACTACACAAACGGAAATTGTACATTATTTTGAGTATGTTGCTTCACACTTTGAAGCATTAGTTTTGATTATCTCTTTTAGACGTGAACTACTGCTAAAGGTGGCTAAGCATTTGGGTTGCCAGTGCATTTTTACAACTGATCTAGGAATTGATATTGCCTCTCAGCTGCTTAAAAATGTAACGCTAGGTAGAGGTGAGAATATTGTATATGACACGGTAGGCGATCAAGTTTTGTTTTTTGAATCTAGCAACAATTTTTTAGGGTGTGGTGGATTCTAGGGACATGGATGTAAGTGTTTTACGGCCGTTGCGCAATTTTACAATAAAGGAGTTGGCTTTGTATAATTATTTTAACCACTTGGAACCGGTCAGTTTTTATCGTAAAACAAAGAATCCGTATTCTAGTATGCAAAATCTAGTGGAGAAATTTCTTGCCGATTTGCATGTCAATTATCCGGCGACGATTTCCACAATTGTACGAACTGGAGATAAATTGGGAGTTAATAATGAACCATCAGAAGATAGGTGTATGCTCTGCAAGGTATGTATTTATAGGCGTGTCAAATTAGAAAGACAGTTTGGGACATGATCTGTAAAAACAAATTAGCTGCCTTCATCACCAGAAGGCAACCAGGTATATTTTTTGAGTGTAGGATTCATAGAGGGGTGCAACTGCGTACACTAAGCTATGGTCAGATCTGATTCTGAAACTATATGACACTGGTGGTTATGTTGGCTAATAGAATTTTTGTCAGTGCAAGTCATTCATGTTTGTTTGTTTTAAAAAGAAAGTTTCGATTCTTTATTTTTATATAAATAAACTGATATTAAAAAATTTGCTGTTGCTAGCACAAATACCACCCGCACACCTGCGCATGGGCGATTCTGCCCTTTCATGTCTAAGAATATATGTACCACATTTGGTTCTGGTAGTACTTGAATGTGGTTTTTTCTTTCTAGCATGAACCTAGAGTCCTTAGTAGGTGGTAGGTGACATGACGTTAGTAATCATTTGTCCCATTAGGCGACAGAATGCACCAATACCAGCGTCATATGGAAATACACTGCGAATGTTCTTCTGCTTTGAAAAAGGTTGTTTTGAAAAGAGCGAAAGTAATGAGCAGAGAAGACTGTGCAGCAAAATAAACGGACGAAAAAGGATCAAGGAAGTATTAATTATAGGTTAGTTTTAGTATTGGTGCACATATACTGGGATGCGGCGAATGATTACTAATGTGATAAGGTTTATTGATATCCTGGTACGTATGGTTTGTTGTCAACAGTGAAAGTCACCGAAAAACATTTTCCACAATCGTAATATAAAGTTCACATCATTTCTTCGAAATGTGAGGTTATGTTACTTATATTTCATGATTACTTTTAAGTTGGTAAGATTGTGAGCAACATTCCAACTTTAATTTTGCCTGCATTTGTTTAGGAACGTTCATTGAATTAGATACTCGTAACTAGAACGGCTTCGCCCGTAAACAACTGTTGCAAGGATGCAGTGACGAGAGAGTTTTCTGTTTCGCAGTTCATGTTTCAAGTTTCTTTAATGTGTGGCCCGCCAAGAGGTTATGCTATTTTTCCACGATTTAATTAATATTACATTAAGATGTCCCTCCTCCTTTTGAGCGATGACTCGATGAGGCGGTCGATGCTAGTTATTGGCTGATATAGAAATGGCGTTCAAAGTTAATCGACGATCGCTAAGAAAGAGGCGGTGTATGGAAGATGTGAAAGATGTTCCTTCCCCTTTCAAGTGGTGAAGCGGTCGATATTAGTCACCGGCTGAAAATGCGTTCGAGTGAATCGGTGGTCGCTAACAAAGAGGTGGTCTATGGTCCCCTTTCAAGTGATGAGGCGGTTGATGCTGTCACCGACTGATATAGAAAAGGCGTTCGAAGTTAATCGGTGGTCGCTAACAAAGAGGCGGTCTATGGAAGATGCGAAATATGTCTCTTCCCCTCTCTCGGTGGTCGATGCGGAAAAGGCGATCGTTGCCAGTTGCAAAATGTAACCCTCTCTACAACATTCAAGTTTAAACTGTATGCGCTTCCAGAAGTGGTTTTGTTAAAGTGTATCCATATGTCGATGTCAGTCACCAGCTGATACAGAAAATGCAGTTAAGCTCCTCCCAAAAAATTCCCGGCACATTTAAATGAACATTTTTAATGTGCCGAACTTTCAAAACCTGTAACTCGCAACTATTTGCTTCCAATTATAATTGCAATTTGAAAGTATGCACTGCTGTGTGTTGAAAGGTCAATATTCAAAACATAACACTTTATAACTTAGTCATACAATGTGACATGCGATTTTAAATTTCCCGGTTTTTATAATTTTGTGGCTGTGAACCGGGTCTGTCATTACATTGGCCAAAATTTATTGCGAGTGGCTTAACTGCATCGGTTGGGTGAACAGATTATAGTGCATAGTGAAAAAAGGTTACTGTCATGATTTAATTTTAAGTTAAAAGCCTTATGTAATTCAAAATAATAAAAAAGCTGTGGTATATCATTTTAAGGAATTTAAGTGTATTTTTCAAAGGGTTTATTGTGTTCTTCGCAAAATGTAAAACCCACAAGCTTTTTACCATGCGTATTTTGGTAAAGAGAGGTATTGCATTATGGAGTAGAAAATGGACGTAGACTAACTTTTCAACCTAAATCTACGCCTTCTATTTCAAAATTGACATTTGTAAACAAAATTTTTTTGACTTAACAACAACAAAGATTATTATTATTATTAGATCGGAGCCATTATATCACGTACAAGTAGATACACTACTTCTGTGATTATTTAAATGTTTATTCATTCTCTAGAGTTACTTAATATGGTTTATTATACATTTTCGATATATTTAAGTTTTATTGTTACATTTTGTTTTTGTTGAAAACGAATTAACATTATTATTATTATTATGTTTCCCAACCATTTGCGCTCCCAAGACGTGATTACATGCTGTTTCAAATACCACGATTAAAGTTGTTAATTCACACAGAATGTGTGACAAATTTTAAATTAATTTCCTCTAATTAAGTGCATAGTTTACTTAAAGATTTATTTTTAGGTACCGATCAGAAAGGAAATTGAAAGCCTTGGATCTGCAGAAGCTACAAATTTTTCTCATTGGATATCGACGCAAACTCGAAGCTGTGACAAATCACTAAAAGAACGCACCAGTCAAATTTTGGCAACATTTGATAACAATAAATATAACAAATATTGTTACTCTTGTAATCAAATTGCGCCCTATTTATGTCAATAACAAAGTTTATTAAAGAATTTAAATATTTAGGACATTTTTTCTTGTAGCAACAATTATAAATAATTAATACTAAAGTGAGGTGAGTATATACAGTAACTTGCATCGAACAAGCATTTGGAATGTAATTTTTTTAGAAATATCTACTTAAGCTGCCTTAGCTAACACACTAATTAAGTAACATTGATAATTATTCACATTAAGTTTGTAATAGCAGAAATGTAAAAGTACAGTAAAAATAGACAAACAACCATTGAGATATACTAAAACGTTATTTTGCATGGTCATGGTTTGACCTTGTGCACTCATCAAAATTTTTGGTCATTCCCACTTGCGTAAGGAGTAATGGTTGAATTCGCAGGCCGTGCAAATATTATTCATATCAATCACGCACATAAAGCAAGAAAAAAATTTAATTAAGCACATTTGGACCCCAAAACATGTGTAATAAAGGCACATTGTCATTGTGATGTTTATAATTGAGTATAACAGATATGATTATTTTTACATCCGCGTAATCACGAAATAAATAATACTGTTGTAAACACAGCAAACGCCTTTCCAAACACATATTCGGAAACAACTTTCACACTTGCTACATAAAACAAACCAAGGAACAGCTTAAGCAGATAAAAAAAATAATTAAACTTAAGAGATCCTTAACAATCATTTTTTTGTACTACGCAATGTGACGTTTTGCGAATTCAATTCGGCAGTAACGTGTTCCCAAGCACCGACACTTTTCTCATAACATTCGATCTGTTTATTAACGAAATCGAGAAGAATCTTCTTCAGACAACTTTGCTTATCCTGCTGCCATCTTTCCAGATCACTTCGCAACGACTCGTTAGCACACTCTAAATTGTCTTGATTGGTTTCGACCTTCTTAACTAAATGCGGTATGTGAACACCTAATTTTTCCAATTTATCATCAACGCTCGGCTGTTTCCACAATGAGAACCCGCTCGAATGGGATCCATTTTGTGCAGTTAACAACTAAAGATGAGATAATTAGTAGCCATTAAAGTTTCCCTGTGCTTAGCGATTTATTTGTAATGTACGCAAAAATTACTATGTACCTACTTTGTGCCAAAAATGTTCAGCTAATTATTACACTTGCACTCTAGACATTAGCAAAATTAAAACGTTATGGCGGACGATTGAGTTTACCATAAGTGAATCAAAGTAGGCTAACCAATTGACGAATTGAATACTCGAAATGAGCCAAAATTTCAAAATTGTATTTACAAACAGAACAATTTTAAAAATGTCTTCCATCAAAACCGGAAGTGACGCGAACATGCAACTCAATTCATTTTTAACGCATATCACTCCCCAAAATATTCTATTCATACCTCAATGAGGAAACAAACAAGTATAAATCGTGCACTTGTGCAGATAAACCGCATTTTTTAAACCAAAGTTGATTAGTAACTATAGCGCGTTCGTAACTCCAGAATATGCAGTATGGATTTTTGGCATTATTTTAGTTTTTCGCTTAAAACTCGAAAACGGTCCATATTTTATGAATAACAATTCTTTAGAAAATTAAAGAAAACAAAATTATGCGTCGATCAAAAAAAACAAACAAAATCGGTCCAATAGAAAAATTTTTACAAGCCATCAACAAACACCCATTTTTTCCAACGAATTTCAAAAATTGGTCCAATTTTAAATTGTTGGTACTTTTTGAACTTTCTGATTGATGTTCTACAATCTTTAGGGAGGGGGGTAGTGGATTTTATCGTTCCTTTAGGAACCACAACGCATTAAAAAAAGGTTAACTCAGTTCTTTAGAAAAGTTGGAAAAAATTGGCCTTTTTTGATCGCTTGTAAAAATTGTTCTATTGGACCGATTTTGTTTGTTTTTTTTTATCGCAGAATTTTGTTTGCTTTCATTTACTAAAGAAGTGTTATTCATAAAATATGGACCGTTTTCGAGTTTTAAGCGAAAAACTGAAAAAGTCAGAACGTTTTGAGGTTTTTTGGCTGCCAAAAGTTGTGCCGGGAAAAAATTGGTGTGCACTCTTCAAATACATGTTATTTGGACCCAAATGGACCATTTAAAACGTTAAAATCGTTTACACCACATTTTGCAGGAATCGGCCCTTCTGACTGCTCCGCATACTGGATTATCTGAGAAAACTGATAATTTTAGATGGGAAATATACACAAACGTGTAATTTAGTCATATTTGATTTGATCTAACTAAACAAAGTGCTACGCTTCTGGTAGTTTGAAAGCATTGTTATAAAACAGAGTTCATATTCAGCACTACTTATGATATAATAGGTGAAGTACCTAGTATTGTACGTACCCCCCGCACCGTCAAAGGGAAAAATGATTACAGTCTCATTATAGGTTTTTTTTATTTCTTGAAGCATCCTGATGGGATGCAAAAGGTTTTAGACATAAAAAATTATTTCCAATGTACCTATAATAGGATATCCATTTTTCGTCTTGGGCATATGTGACATTATGATTTACAAATCAACAGCTTTCAAATAAATAAATAATAATTTATCTAATCCATATCATTAGGAACGGCGTAACAATGTGTAGGGTAATTCCAGGTAGTTTCTTTTGTTTTCCCTTTCAAGTAATGAGTTGTCGCCTCAGGCGTTATAAGTGCAATTTGAGTTGCCTATCCTTACATTAGCGTTTTGATTTTTTTCTGAAGATCGCGAAACATATTTTTTAAAATATATGCCTTATCATAATAGATGGAAGTAATATCTTTAAGTACCACCGTAAGAAATACTGTCGGATTTCCAAATTGGTGCTGTACGTTTTTCTACCCTCATTACAACGGCTGTTATCTACAAAAAACGGTTTTTCTATTCATCGATCTTCCGTTCTTTTCATCATTGCAAAGAATATCCACTATCGAGAATTTGTGCGACTTCAACTACAAAAGCAGCATTTCATAAGAAAGTTTAGCTATTTTTCCAATATGGCGGATTGACTACAGAGGAGCCAATGAATTTTAAATATGCACGTTAATAAACCCACAATCTTCTACCCACGCACTAATGGTCCACCTTGTATAATTATATCTTATAATCTTTTAAACATTATTTAAAATTTTAAAATGTTTCTACCGTCAGCCATCTTTATTGATTGCTATCAGCTAGTTACCATGGATACAATAACCCAAACAAAATTTCCATGAATCCATGGTCTACTTGATTTTCATGGCTAAAATTTAAAAGAAATATAGGTTGAACACTAGAAAATAATTTAGTATTCAATCGATTGTTGGCTGAGAATGAATGATCTAAGTGTTGGTTAAGTTTGAGTAGCAAATTTCCTAAACTTAAGTCACAGATTCCTTGTCACCATTTGCAAACACCTACCTCTGCGAATAATGTTTTTCCGAACTCACCCATGATATGATGACGGTCGTACACACAGGTCTGGAAACCCTGTTGTTTGAGACAAGTGTCATCAGACTCGTAGTCCCTCACTCACATACCAGGTGGCGCAAGGATTGAAGTATGTTGTCAGAATTAGACGCTGTATCGTATAGCCAAAGCGTACGTAAAACTTGCGTCCCGTTTGTGCAGATGGCTTAACGGTCGACTTACAAACGCAGGTTCGAATCCGAGCGCGCCCGCTTTTTTTTACTAAACGTTCATTAAATTTATGTGACAACTGGTCTCTGGAGCTCAATAAAGAGAAAATCTCTTCTCAAGTTTAGTCGATTTTTTTAATGCTCTTATTATTAAAGATGATTTTTTAGTAATGTAAAGTAATGTATTTTTTGACGCATCCTATGCACTACAATCATGTGTCCATGGAAATAAATTGTATTTATTTAATTGATTTTGGCAATATCATTGTTGGAGCACTTTTTGTGGTAAAATTCATTTTTTCATACAGACCATGCTGTATATTTTGGAGTGTAACATTTTGCCAGTTTTTGAAGTAGGTATCACTTGTTATATTTTATTAAATATTATTTGCAATATTGCATTTTATACATTAATAGCACTTTGTGTACCAAGGCGGGAAAGTGGATGTTTTCCGGGGCGAAGGGAAGACATATTTGCTGAGACCCGGAAAACAACATTCGTGCTGTGGTGCACACAATATATACACTGCCGTTTCCCTATGGTGCGTCCTACCTGGCACACACCATATACCTGGAGCCTTCAATAAATGGTATTATTATTATACATTCTCAACAGCCGAAATCGGACAATGCCCAAAATTTATACCCATAACGTGTTCTGGGCACTGCGGTTTACTCAGAATGCGCATATTAATCCACCCACAATCCGAAGCCAAATTCCATGTGCTGAATTTTAAGCGTTTAAATACAAATAAGCACAAATGAATGGAGAGTGAAGGGCTTAGGACCATGTCCCCCTCATCGAACTTCTCATTCAGATATTGTGTAGTGCAAGATACAAATGGGATAATTACCTGAACATATATTTAACCAGGTTCTGACAAGCACATTTAAGTGATTTATTATTTAGTGCGGTGATAAGGTGAAGATTGATTACCTACCTGATCTTTTTCAGTTCGTTTCTTATCCAGATCATCCAAAGATGTGTTATAGATGTGCTGATAAAGGTCACGCTTATGTAATGTGTCCTTAATCACGTCTATGTACATTAAAAATTCTTTGATAGGATTCGCTACAGTATTCGTATAACTATAAATCAGCGCGCTTTGAGCAAACGTGCACTTCTCGAAGGCGTTCGCGATATTTTGCAATATCGGCGATAGTTCCGGTTCGGACATTGACCAATTCGAAAAAATCGGATAGTAGCTTTGAAGTTCGCTGACGTACTCGTGACTCTCCTTATTGATCCTGCTTGCAATTTTTTCAATTGATACAAGTTTCTCGGATAGTGTTGTTAAGTAGTCCCTTGCCTTCTCAAATTCGATGTGACGATTTTTTATTGACGCACGCGTCGATAGCATGTTTGAGGTGTTTCCCATTAAGATTTTATTGTTTATATTGGACCGTTGTTTCCGATGTAAATTAAAATCCTGTAAAATATAATTGATGTTATTTACGCCAATTTAAATTTGGTTTTGGATATTTTTTAAAATAAATTCTAATCGGACATGACATGACATGGTGACGCGATTATTTGATTGAGAAGTGTCAATTTTTTTAAATTAAAAAATTAAATTTGCCAGCATTTCATTTACTCGTTTTGCTACTTTAGGCGATAAAAAATCCGTTAGTTTCATAGCGAACAATTATAGAACTTCCGTAAGTATCACTGCACTGCCAAAAGTGCCATCAGATTTACCAAGAAAAAGTAAGAAACTTATGACTAATCTTATTCGTTATCTTGAACGACAAAGAGATAATGGTGGTCCACCAGTCGCAGCAGTAAGAGTGGTGAGTGGTTACTTTAGTAATATAAGAATTCGTATACGTAACATGTTTCATTTCACAGAGAGTTGTGGATGCATTAAACATTAGCCTGTGAGCAACGACTTCTATTTCACTAATTTCTAAATCGAGCAAACCTCTAGAAAGTCCTAAAAAACAAGGCAATGCATGAAACCCGTTAGCGATGTTGATGGTTTCACACAAGCAGCGATTCGGATTCGGAATTCACATTGAATGGTTGAATGTAGATAGGCGTTTATGTCAACTGTGCAAAGATTTTATTACATTAAATTAATATTTCTGTAGATATGAATATGATAAGCAGTTTACGTTTGTATTTTAGCACATTTTTGTATTTTAGCACATTATTGCTTCAATCGGTTTTACGGTTCTAACAGAGAAAGACATATTTAATGGGTCAAAAAGTTTCTTAAGAAAAGTTATTGCGAATATTGATTTGCAGTCGCTTCTCGACCTCTGCTGCTGGCGTTATTATGAAAAAACAATTAAAATGATTTTTTTTTACAAATTTTTCGTTTACATCCAAAAAATAATATCCACCTTATTAGCAAAAGTTCACGACATAGACCACCTGTTACGAATAAATACCAAACATTTTTTAGTAATTCGTCAATAGAAGTCGTTGATGTAATGGGTATCCTACCTACAATGCAAAACTGTCTGTATGACTGCCTACATGTATCATTGCCTCAAAAAACAACAAAAAACTGTTTTGTAAAAAAACAAAAAATTGAGAATTTTTAACCCCCCCCCCCCATATGTCAGATACTCATATTCCATAACCCTCCACCCCTGTTAAACCGACGCCTGCGTATACCCTTACCGTAATTTACCAATACACCACTGCCCTCACACTATACTTAACTAACTACAATTAACATTTAACAGTGCTTTAAATTCGTATTTTTACCCCATCTACAAGACCTTGCAACCAGCAGAAGGTTCATAAACACGTAAAGTACAAAAAAAAATCATTATGTAATGTATACTTACACCTTGACTAGCAGTTAAAAAAATCTTCAAGTGTTCATTACAACTTAAAATAGGATGCTGAGCTACTCTCGTAATAAACGTATTTAATAGTTTCATCCGCACCAGAATAAAGTCTTTGGCATATCGATCTAGCTGTCCTATTAACGTATGTTTGGCGGGCAGTGGCTAAAATGGCAGCGATAATTAAAAAAATCCAAGTCTTCGTTAACCAAATGTATTACTGGAACAATACAAAATGGGTGGCAGTCGAGCAATCTTTGACGAAGCCAGGCGAATTCATTGTACCGCCTTCGTACAACGTACTCGTTTTCAGTGAATTCAATCCTTGCAACTCGTGTGGTTATACGAAAGGTGATATAGGTCTCTAAGGTATCTAGGTGCTTCTGGGGATTGTCGACTTTGATGTACAAGTCGGAATTTTCGTCAATGTTTAACTCAGATAGAGCTTCGGTGTCCGGTATCGTTGAGAAGCTTTCTAGGCTCGGCGATTGCACCTGCATCAAGGTGTAAACATAAACTATTGGTTGCATTTAATATTTACCAAGGAATTATCAATTGTGGAGTTGCTACAGAGGCTGGCACGGTCACTTTCCATTGCGTCCTTCAGAAGACTGGGCACCGCTTTATTTTCAATTAATACATCTAAAACTGCCGAAGAATTGTCTTTATCCTCCATTGTCTTTTTATCTTCCCACCGATTTAATTTTTGGGGTTGCGATTTATGAATAATTTATTTTTTCATTACAAATTTGGATAGCCAATCAAAGCTGGTCTGTGTGTCACGTGAGTAGTAGGCCCAATTTTATATACAGGGTACTAACTCTATTCATATACAATTTTTATATATACAGTGGGTAAAAGTAAAGCCGGATTTATAGTTCCGTAAGAACGGGAACCGTAAAATCTTACGTTAACGAAAATAATACGATTTATAGTTCCGTAGTGGCAAGTGATGAGCTTGCGCGTTAGCGCGTAGCGAATTCTGTCATTGTATGTCATCTGTCAGTAAGAGTATCATGCATTTCAAAATAATAATAACCAAGAAAGTGTCAATAATTATTGTAAATAAACGAAACGAACGTCAGGACAAACTCAACTGTTTGAATTATCCAAGTACTACCGAAGACAAGCGCGTTAGCACGATTTACCGTAAGAAATAAGATTTGTGCATTTCCTACGTACCGTAACCGTTCTAACGCAACGTTAAAGTGAATTATAAATGTTCACACGCAACAAGTAGGGTTTAATTCCAAACGTTACGGTACGGTGTTGTGGGTACGGAACTATAAATTCAGCTTTAAGTACGTTAAAAATACCAATGTCCTTGTTTTTACCGTTATTAACCAGGGGTTGGAACCCCATATGAAATATTAATAGGTTCCGGGTAAAATTATTTTTTACGGGTTCAGGGTTCTGTGGATTCGCAGTTATGTTCGGTTCCAATAACACCAAGTGAAAGTACATTACTGTTTTGTGTAAACATTTTTTTTTAAGTTTAATGCGCGTTCGTTTCACCTCTGTCAGCTGCCTGTCTCTTTCAACTTTCCTTTTCTTGGCAGGTACATAGTTTCAACTATTGATTTCCTCACATACGCTTCAACCCTCTTACCGTTTGTGATTTATTTTTGGTATCAGACACTGTAAAATATCTTATACCTTATGTATTCGTTTAGTAGTAAGGTTAAGTTGGTAGAAATTAGTGTGTCAGCTTTTGATTTTCTTGGTCAATAAAATAAACTATGTACAAGCTTTTCGCTTTTAATTTATTGTAGCAAGTTGTCTAGAGAGATATCAAGGCGCCATAAATTAAGTCCGTAAAAGAGTAGTTTCCGGAAATAGGGAATGAAAGATGTTACGTGTTCTTTCCAGAAAGTATGATGCTGAGTCTAGAAACTTTTCGTTTGTTACGTAAGCAACTTGAATTGTTTTTAGTAGAAGTTCCAATAGTGATGCCGAAGTGATAAATAGTGAAACTCGCGCTCGTGTTATAAATTTGAGTACACGCATGTGATAAATAATAATGATAATATTTAAAGACCGTTATAAATTCATGGGTAATTTAATTGTGCATAAATAAATCATATATAATTAAATTTCCGTTACATTGTTTATCCCTAAGGGAGTTTATGAGCTAATTCCCGGACAATTTGTTCCCAGGACAATTCGCTAACGAAAAATTCACGCCTAGAATAACAGAGAGAGTGTTAGTTAGCGATACGTCAATGTCAATGTTCTGCTAACTTCACGGAGCCTAGCGCAAAGTGTTATACTGGCGAATATTCAAATAACTGAAAAACAAACAATACACCTTGAGTTAAGGCAAATACCGGAGTATAGAACAGCTTCTTCAGAACCTTCTGCAGAGGCACCTCTAAAAAACATTATGGGTCGCACTCTGTAATTGGGCACCTGTTAAGGGCCCAGAACAAGAAAGACAATAAATAAATATGTCAAATTTTTATTGTAGGTACCAAACACATGTCATGGAACGTATTATATCATTTATACAGTCGGTCGTATATCACTTGGTGTTTAGGTTTAATCAAAGAGTAGTAGTCTTTGGTTTAATTGATGTACATAAGGCTCAGAGCGATATCACGGTCATCATTATTTGAATTTCTTGTACGTTCAAACTGTTCAATGTAATCTATGCTGTTTTTGTTTTCCACTGTATGTACAAGTACTTCAACTTCGTGTACTGTAGTCTCCTCTTGTGGGACATTTTTAATGTCATCATCATCATTATTTGAGTTGTTTGTATCATCAAACGTTTCAATGTGATCTATGCTGTTTTTGGGTACCTGTGTATGTGAGACTACTTCAACTTCGTGTACAGTCTCTTCCTGTTTGACTTTTTTAGGACTATTTTGGTGAGTGAAGGTAGCGGGAAGACGGTCACCAGAATCGCTGCTTTTTATTTTAGAACGAGTCCCATCGTCTACTGAACTGTACGATGACGATGATGACGTGTCTATTAGGGATGCGTGGCGTTTTAAAAAGTATCTTTCAGGTTTTACATTAATGTTTCCAGACTCGACTCCTCGCCGCAGAGCTGCGCATACGCCCAACATTGCGTATTTACGATTACGGTAACGTTTACACACCCTTGGAGTTAAATATCTCGTAAGGTCTTTCATAGTTACACCGTCTTCTTTATCTAAAACCTTAATTGCTCGTATAATTTCACGTAGATAGGATGAGTTAGATGCCATTTTAATATTTTCAAATATAATGCAAAAATAGGTACAAAATGAATTTTGCCAAATCACTTGTCAAACAAAATTGCGGTAACATTCACAGCGAACTTATAATCTTTAAAATTCAAAACATGTGAATAGCAAGAACGGTAACAACTACATACGAACAAGTATAGGTAGCACCATGTATATACAATGGTAATATACAATCGTAGTAGGTACCTAGCAAAGAGAGGGAAGAAGATGGGACAGGAAAAGTAAGAGCTGAGAAGCAGACCGAAAATGCTATGTCAAAGCAATAGAATGAAGGGCAGGAGAGTAGGTGGCAGGAGCGACAGGAAAGTCAAGAGAGGGTGAAAGATGTTGGTAGAGAGCGGGTGCGTAGGTAAACAGCAGAGGACAGGAGAAAGACAGAGAAAACAGAAGAGGCTAGGAGAGAGTGTGAAACGGCCAGGATTACATACACAGATAAATTTTATCTGTGCATGGGACAGGTGAGTTTTTGATCGGACGAATCCTCCCCTTTAGTTACTATAACTCTCGCCAGGAAAGATTGCCGGTCACAGAACACTTGATCCCGATCTACAATCTCTGTTTTTCGTAAGGTGCTAGCGATTTCCGAGATACTATCGTGTCAATGTTGAACGCAAAGACTTTTTGTTCAACATGTAGTCGCTCGCATCTTAATAACAACATGTAAATCGACACAAGGTGTGCTGTGACCGGTCCAGAAGTCGCTCGCATCTTAATAACAACAAAGATTGTAAATCGACACAAGGTGTGCTGTGACCGGCAATCTTTCCTGGCGAGAGTTATAAGTAATTCTTACGCTCAAAAACAATGGAGGTTTGATAATGGCGGCGGGCATTAATGAATTTTCATTGGTTAGTTATTTTCTTTCCACCATTACTAAACGGCTTTTAGGAATGTGGCTGACTTTAAAATTTTGCAGAATCAGCATTTTCTCACCGCTTGCTTCTCAATTAGCCGAGTTGCAAAAGTAACCAAAGAAGGCTAATTTACAGAGTGTAATTCAACGTCAGACCCAGACAATGAGGCGACAACTATAATGATTTCGAACAATTTGAATATGTGTCTGGGAGAACCTTGACTCTGTTACAACTTAAAAATTTCTACATTCGCGTAATTCGGCGGGAAAAAATCGCCAAAAAATTCAAATAAAAATGGTGTCGTTACACTCGATAATCCGAACATTCAAAATTTTTACCCTGTTCGAATTATAGTATGTATATATTTTTCAAAAGGTGTTTGCAATTAAACAGCTATTTTTATAATTGAAAGAATGGTTAGAGAAATGTACAAAATGGCGGAACGACTCGTACGTGTAGCACGCGAAGCTTGAGTGGTGCTGCGACACTCTTTATTTATTTGTTTGTTTGTTTGCTTGTCTGTTTGCCTGCCTGTCTGTCTGTCCGCCTGCCCGCTTAATTGTTTGAACCTGAGGGTGAAGAACACTACGACCTTAGAAAAGGAGTCTAAGACTACGATTAATTCATTTCATTCGCAGATCAGGTATGACTCAACAAGCGACTTCTTTTATAATTTTGAGTTAAATTCTATTCTTTCTTCAAGACCACGCGCGTTTGATGCCAGCTTATAAATATATGTAACCATTGTATGCTGTTTATAATTTTGTATAACAATTGATGAATAACTAATACTTGAACAAAAATGCAGCTGTCATGGAAAAGACAATTAAACCTTTATTCATTGAATTACACACAAGACGAGTACAGTTACGAAGCACTCTGTAAAGAAACCATTTGTCATATGAACTATTTTATATGATTCAGGTTCATGTGAACTATTTACACAACAAAAAAAGTTCAGTTTTTTTGGTTATTTTTTAAAAGTCGATCTTTGAATGCTTATTTTAAAATGTCTGTACTGGATTATGAGTGTTTATTTAACGAATTTCAAGAGAACGATGAGTGGGATGAGTGTTTTAATGTAACACATAAATTGTTAATGCATTAATTAATTAAGTATTGTAGGCTGTGGACAAATGTGATGTCGAACAAGAATTAATTGCCAAATCTAATGCTGTAAATGGTAATGCACCTTTTTATTACTTTCCTATCGAGTAGTTACGTTAATTTTTAGACGAAGAACGTCCGCAGAAAGAATACTTGGAAGTTCTACAGCGAGTGTTCGGACACAAGAGTTTTCGACCAATGCAATGGAAAATTATCAGTTCAATTATAAACGACAGAAGGGACAACTGCTCGATAATGGCGACAGGTTATGGGAAGTCTCTGTGCTTTCAGTATCCCTCCGTTTACCTGGGCGGTGTTACTATTATTATTTCGCCATTGATTTCCCTGATGGAAGATCAAGTTTTGTCTATGAAGGTAAAATTCAATTTTCTGATTATTTGTTTGATGAAGTTTGAATGTCACCGAAGTTACATTTCTTTGTGTTATTAATTACGGGATGAAACTATTTTACGAACGTGTCATTTAAAAGGCTATTATGAACTGAGGAAGTTCAGGGTCGGACTGGAACACCGAGATACAATGAAATTTCTCGGTGGGCCCTTGTTTCACTTGGTGCCCTTTCTAAGAGACAAACTGATAAATTCTCATAACCACTTCGACACAATCTGCGCATAAAAATAAAGAAGTACGATTAAAAAATTGTTAAATACAGGGTTGCCAGATCTCCGGCGTTTGGCCAGAGTTTCAGGTTGTACATCGTTCTTTCCAGCTTCCGGCAGGCACGGCTGTATCTCCGGTAGAACAATAAATTTCAATAGATCTAATAACAATACAATTTAGAAATTACAAAATCGGGGGGGGGGGCCGTAATGTAGATTTATGTTTCTCCTGCAACCATTATCTGGCAGACAACCATACTCCATCTGCAAGGTTCCCAAATAGTCTCTTTTTTTAGACATTTGTCTGTTTTTTCAATGCTGGTCTTTAAAAGTCTGTAACGGGCGCCTCCGCCACTGGAAATACTACTTTACCACGGAGAGAGTCGGCGCGGCTTAAGCAGAAGCAGTTGGATGATGAACGTGCCGTTGAGCCGACGAGAGATGAGATGATGGAATAAAATGTGCTACTTTGTTCTTTTAACAATAATAATAAATTGTGTTAACAGTCAGAGTTGGTTCTTTCGTGATTGTTTCACCGACTGTTATAAGTCTCTATTTTTCATATTTGGTCTCTAAAGTCTCTAAATTTTGCATGTTAAAAAAGTATAATTTATAATTGATAAACCGCAGAAATTTTACATTTTTAGCGCATTTTTTAAGAATTAAAAAAAATGCGTTTTGGCCTTCCGGACCATGTTCCGGACCCACTTCTGCCGTTTCGAACTACTTCTAGGAGAATGGCAGGTAGTCCTGGAATTCTTTGGCGTAGGTAGCCTATACTTTGAAGGTGTGCCAGACGGCCACCAAATTTCGCTGTCTAAAAGGGGGGTCCTCCCACGAATTATTTCCTGAGATGCTGTTTTTGAAAGTAAAACATGCATAACTTTTACATACGACAACCAATTGGTCTCAACGAAAGGAACCGTTTTCTACCAACTACTGCCCTTCTTTCTGTCCTCTTATCAAAGTACGGTGAGGAGGGGCAGGGGGGGTGGAACTAGTTTTATCCTTCATGGTACTCCAATGAAAGGCCTCAACGAAAGGAATTAATTTCTACCAACCATAGCCCTCCTCCTCGACCTCTTATCGCGATCGGGTATATTCCCTTATACCTTGAGAACGGATTGTCGGAAGAGGGTACTCACAAAGGGCCATTGGGACGTCTGCAAGAAATATATCCATTGACCATTGGTGATGTCAAAAAAAAGCTATTTGGGTTAAAAAAAATGCGTTTTATCCTCACACAATTTATACTTGTTTAGATATATTGCCCTTTATGTATGTCATCTATTACAAAATAAATATTTTTTGCTTAATTTTGTATGGAAATTGGTTCTCGAAGGTCTCTAAATGGTCTCTATTTTTAAATATGTAATTAGAGACCAAGTCTCTATTTTTTTTGCTAAAATCAGTTGCGAACCCTGCATCTGGCATCTGGTTGCAGATGTAATCACGGAATAAGCCCACTCATTGAAATGGTCTATTATTCTTAAAATGATTGCCTTTTGAAATTTTTCAAAGAAACATACGGATTCACTTAGAAGACGCTATCAGGTAAGTTTACTGACACATGAAAAAGGCCCCAAATATTTGGTTATTTGTTTAACATATATAAAAATTACGTCACAGTGCTGCGTTGTGATTGGCTGCGCCATTTTGTGGCGGTAAGTTTGAATTTGTGCGAGAGTTTTGAATTTCCGGATTTCCTTTTTGTTGCGGTAAATTTGAATTTGTGCGGGGAATTTGAATTTTTTTATTGTGATTATTGTGGATATCCTGGATGTCATAATGGCACTAATCTGCAAGCCATTCATTTCTGCTGAGGGCATTTTGAAGTCGGTAAAATTTAAAATTTGTCAGAGTGATTATGTGACGTAGACGGTGAATGCTTGTGTTTGTAACGCTCTATCACAGAGGTGTCGCCCCAAGCGTATTGTGAAAGTTTCCTTAGACTCCTTTTTAGCGCATTTTTGCAAATTTATTTGTAAAAAGGTAGCTTTTAATATCTCATTTTGGCTGGCTGGCTGGCTGGCAGCAAATGAGGGCTCGTAGAAAGACGAGGAGTGTACGTACATGTACCTACCGGGGCGTTTCATTAACAACTAAAGGGAGAGGGCTATATGCCCGAGCGTGCTATACTAACGTAGTCGCGAAAGTCGTGGGAATGGGACGTCGTAAGTAGGGTACCGCTACCGACAAAGGGAATGTCGACCTTCGACACGATCTTATGGCTGTTGGAATCAAAACTGGCTAATAGAATACTGATCTGTTACACAAAAATGCGCTGAAGTCCCTTCGATCTCACACGAGGACTTTGATAAAATTTTTTAAATAAACATGTTACATATTATCCGTCATACATAAAATACCGTAGAGCGGTAGTTATAAATTGCTCTCATTTCACTGTCTATAGTGCTTGATCGCAGAGGAAACGACGATGAAGTTCAAACTTGTGTGATCCATTATTATGGTATAACAGCACAAGAATATGCTGCAGGAGGAAGAGCGTCGTCTGTTTTACAATTCGACGATACCGTTAATTAAACGGGAAACAAAATTCTGCAAATAGGACTTGATGTAGCAAGTGATATGTGTTGTTGTGCGAGGATTTTGAAAATGAGTGGTGACTTTTATATGATTCATCGATTGCAGCTTAGAGGAACTAATGGAGGCAATAAGACATAGTGAGTCCATTGTCGTCGATATAAATCAAATCAAGTGTGGGTTTGAATCGAAAAATTCAAGACGTGGTGTTGAATTGTGTCTAAGTTTGGATTCCCTAAATAAGCTTTTTCAGCTGCGCGGTTAGATAAAGCTTAAAATGTATCATTTACGGAATGTGGATTTTGGTTTTCACGAATTTGTTCATAGTTTTAGTTAACAGAGTGTACGATAGAAACAGTTTGTATGTGAATAGTCAGGATTTACACATCGTCGTTCGTGGTGATGAATATAAATCAAATATGCTATTGTATGATCTAGTTTGTAACGGGCAATCAAAAATGAGTTGCTGTCGAGTCGCCTTTGGAAGTTCAAGTTAAGAACGATTTCCCATGTATACAAAAATTCCAAAGGTGTCTCGACAGCAACTCATTTTTGATCGCATAGTAGTTATCCTCACTCCACATTAAAACTTATCCAGAAACGAATGAATCAGGATGGTCTGTGATCATTTCTATTCGGCTGTTGACGCATTGAGGCGTAGCTCAAAAGCTTAGAGTAGAAAGGTTGGTTGACGACATGTGCTATTCTTTCAGATGAGCAACATATCGGCCTGCCTATTGGGCTCGGCGCAGACTAAACAAAAGGAGGTCATTGACGAAATTTTCGAAGAAAAGTACAACTTAGTTTATATGACGCCGGAATTTTCTTGTGGAGATTACGGCCAGGGTAAGTATTAAATTTTAACGGTGAAAGTTGATTAGCCATTTCTCTTATAGGCCTAATAAAGAGAATAGACGATGCCGTTTCTTTAATTTTAATTGCGATAGACGAGGCGCATTGCGTTAGCTCATGGGGTCACGACTTTAGGTATCAATATCGAGAACTGGGTAAACTGAGAGATCTGCTACCTACGGTACCGATTTTGGCCGTGACGGCTACCGCTACACATCAAGTACGAGGCGACATCATCTCAACTTTAAAATTAAGGTAGAAAGTTTGCATTCCGGTATCATTTACTATATAATGTTTATAGAAACCCCCAAATATTATGTTCGGGTTTCGATCGTCCAAATTTACAGTTTATAGTTTACATAAAAGGCAACGGGCTTATGAGTGATCTTAAAAAGGTTATGATCGAAAAGAACAATAGTTGGAGTTTGCCAGGTTCTACTATTATTTATTGCATTACTCGTAAACAGACTGAAGACATAGCCAATCAAGTTAATAGCAGTGAGTGATTTAACAATATTGCAATTACAGTTGTTGCCTTTGTATTTGTAGTTAAAGGTATGAAGTGTTTAGCGTATCATGCAGGCATGTCGGTTAAACAGAGGAGCCAGGCGCACGAACAGTTTGCAAAAGATAAAATAAAAATTATTGTCGCCACAATTGCATTTGGTATGGGAATCGATAAACCGGACGTGCGTAACATTATTCACTATGGAGCTTCTAAGGATCTCGAAAGTTACTATCAGGAAGTCGGTCGTGCTGGAAGGGATGGCCTACCATCGAAGTGTATCACATTTTATAACAGTGCAGATTTTGATATGCACCAGTAGGGTGGTCCTTCTATTAGCCAGATTTGGGGTTAAGTAATTTTGTTTTACAGTGCTATTAGAGAGATGCACGGGTCGCACACGTCTGCGCAAAATAGTCAAAGGCGAGATATGATGGAGAAGATTATGAGACAATACTTAGAGACGCGTGATTGTCGAAGGCAATTCATTTTAAATCACTTCGAAGGGTCTGTAACGTTGAAAGGTCCTTCTAAGAACTGTTGTGATAACTGCACAAGAAAGTAAGTCAACTATGGCTTACTTCTGTACTATGACTCATAGATTAGATATATCTACGAGTAAAAAATAAAAGAGACTTAACGAAAATGAACAAAAAGGAAGTTATAAAATTGCGAGAAGAGTGGGGAGAAACGAGTCATTATTGGCAGTGGTGTAATAAAACAAAACTGACATCGTCTCTTCTGTTTTATGATAAGTGAAATCGACATAACTGACCGGCGCAAAGGAAGTGATATTTTGACGACTTCCGTCGCGTGTTATGCTATTTCCCACCATCGTTATATTCTCTCCTCTTATTTTTTACTCGTAGAGATATATGTAGAGAAGTACCTGTTTTAGCGACCACAATGTAACTGTCAAAATTAAAAACGAATACAAAACTTTTATTTTAAACCACTGTGTAACCAACAGCTTTTTTCAAATTGTATTAATTTTGCAAATATTGATGTCATCCGCAAATTCAGACCACCTAAGAAATACATGGCAACCAATAATGGTTCCGTCAATCGCAGTACTTTTATCATTATAGGGACTATGCCACAGTATATGAATATATTTAGGTATTTTTATACTGTACTTTATACAATATGATATTGTAACCTTACGCCATCTATGCGACATAGTTCAGCAGCAAAACAACTGTTTGCCTACTACCATATTAACACTCTTTTTAAAATAATCTAGGTTGAGCTCAAGCTTGTCAGATCACAATAAATATGAGGGTCTTAATGAAAAGGGTCTGTATGATTTCGCACCGGAGACGAGAATGTTTTTAGAGGCTGTGGAAGTAATGGGTGGAAAATTCGGATTCGGAATGTACGCTTTATTTATTCGGGGTTCGAAAAGCACAAGACTGTATCAAAGGTATCATGGACACTCGTTGCATGGCTGTGGCAAACATCAAACTGAAGATTGGTGGAAAGCTATAGGTACGTTTTACATTCTCGATGCAGAACATTTGAAGAAATTGTTCTTTGACGTTCAGGAAGCGACAGCACAACTCAAAACCAAAAGTCCCGCCAAAACTAACGGAAACCCCATACAATACCTCCCTTACTAACGTGCGGGTGGTATACATTATTGGAAAGCATCAAAATTCTACAGCAAGGCATTACACTGAGCGTTTCAAAACTTGTAATATACAGGGTGGAAATGAAATAAATTTATTATTTCGGTTACTGTACATATTTATAGAAAATCTTTTCAACGTGAAACATAAACATAATTATTAGTGTGCACTCGCACCAAATTTCCCGGGAACCATCTGACTACTCATGAAAGTGTGATCTCAATCTTTAACCCCCTTCGAATGACAGTTACAACCCCCAATTTTTTAAACGGGCGTGTGATATATTGTTGTCTCTTCTGTCTCTATCAAAAAAGGTTATTGTTTTTAAATTTATTGCAAAAATTCACACACACTGCAACAACTAAGCCACTTATGACAAATTTGAGTAGGTTGGCGCAGGACGTGACTTTTACTTCAGTAATTTTGTTTCTCTCGTTCCCTCCCTCCTCTCTCTCTCTCTCTCTCTCTCTCTCTTTAAATTAAAGGGTAATTAAGTAACATATGTGTGAAATAATCAAATGGATAAGTAAACACTACTATAAGCGGAGATTGAACCAAAAAATATATGTTAGGGCAGCGTTTCTCAAACTTTTTTAAACACGGAGCCCCTATAAAGTGAAATCTAAGATGATGGAGCAAGTGTGATCTGTGCCCGCGAGGTTCTGCCTTTTGTTCGAATACCCAAAAATAAAAAACTTTTTGAGCTCTATAAGACAGTGAGAGATTTTCAATTCAGTGACGGTTCGTAAAGATCATCATCAACTTAATTTTTTATATAGCCCATAACAAAAGTACATACAGTATTGAGAATTTTTTTTATTACGAATACAACAATGTATGGCACGCAAAAAAAAACAAATGTTGAAAACTGTTGGTTTCAACAAGATGGTGCACCCGCGCACAACGCCCTAATCGTGCGAAAATACCTATCGGAGAATTTCCTGGAAAAAATTGTAACGTAAAATTCATTATGTGCCTTATTTATTACAACTAATTAACAATAAATTTATAACAGTCTTAAAATGGATTAATGTATAACAGACAACAGTGATTATATTTATCACTTTAATAACACAAGCGCGTCCAAGGTGGAACTGAACTGAAACGCAATTCGTTTGCTTATATAGCAAACTCCCCCTCTTTCTCGAAAAATCTCGAGCGCTTCCGAAGGCATCCGACTATTCTAGAACCTTCTCAAATAAACAGGTCATATTTCTTGGAAAGATTACGTAACATCCGCCTTTGTTCTTTATCGCCGATGACTAAATTGTCATGGCGCCTCGATGTCTATCGAGATTTCTGGAATGTTCGCTACAATATATATCCAATAGGTATTCTCGCATGATTATGGCGATCTGCGATGGTGCACCATCTTGTTGAAACTAACAGTTAGTTTTGTTTTTTTTGTGTGTCGTACATCGTTGTATTCATAATAAAAAAATTTAGTTGATGATTTCTCCGAAACAAAACGTTTTATTGAAAATCTCTTAATGCTGTCTTGTAGAGCTCAAAAAGTAGCAACGAGAAAGTGTTTTTCATTTTGTATTTGTTCAAATAACATCAGAAAAAAATAATAACAAAATCGGCAAATTTCGGTCTTTCTATCATATCTTCGGAAATAATCGGATTTGCTGGTTTTCTTTAAAACATGGTAACTCTTTAATTGCACACCTTTTATCTAATTTGATCATCGTTGTATCTTGGTTTTGGAGATCCTTGATAGACATGTATGTGCTTAAATTTAAAAAAACTGTCTGTTTTGCAGTGTCTTAGTTACAGAAAAATACTAATAAATTATTTATAATTATGATACAATGCTTACACTTATAGGGAAATAAAACAGCAAGAAGGCATCCTACCCATTAACATTGTTACTTAGGACCTCATTGGTATTCATGTTCATTTTTTTTGTATAAAATAACGCATAAAATCTATTTCAATGTCTAAATATAGAAAATAAAAAAATTATCTAAACCTGTTTTGGACCAAGAAGAGCAATAGATGAAATTAAAAAAGGAATACACAAAATATTTGATAATGGTATATTTTTAGGTAAATTAATTGACAGGGAAGGCTATTTAGAAAAACGTCGGCCACCGAAGGCGGGCAAGAGGGCCTTCAATGCTTCAACATACGGTATTAGTGCAAAAGGTGAAGCATTTTTGCGGTCTCCGAAAAGTACACAAATATTGTTGCAGCCTACGCCCGAGATTTTTAATCTATTGAAATTGAAACATCAACCCGAGTTAGTAATTTTATTAAAAACGATCAGAAAAATCGATTGTACGAATTAATCTTGCAGATTTTCGGAAGAGGACTTTTTCAAATCGTCCCAACCGGTCGCGTCCACTTCGGTAACGTCCACGAAGAGTGCGCCTTCTTTCAAGTCTAAGATCTCCTTGCAATTGATGAAACCGGCGAAGAGTGTGGACTCGATTGAAGAAAGTACCGAAATCGTACCGAGTGAGGAATGCATGAAACTTTACAATGAGTTAATGGCGAAACGTGAAGAGATCGCCACCGCGTCTGAGTGTATGCCGTACATGGTCGCTTCGAATGAAGCTCTCATGAAAATGGCAGAGAAGAAACCGGTCACCATAAAGGATTTAAGAAAGTGTAGACGTAAGTAATTGCAACTATTTGAAATCTCCACAAACCAATGTTGTTATTTAGTGGTAGGTTTTACTGAAGCGAAAATTAACCGTTTTGGTGAAGAGTTTATAAAAACAATTCGAAGTGCCTGTCATTTGGAATCGCTTGATACAACTGATAATGTTAAGAAACCTATCGAGGAAATTTTGGCTAAGCATCCGCTTCCTGGTCATAAAATTGGCGCTACTGCTCAAGTCAGTTATTCGATGTACAAGTCTGGCCTTACTGTACAAGAAATTGCAACAAAAAGGTAATTTAGGTTTTTTTTCTAAAGGGAAGGGACAACCAAATAGCTGGGGGTTGATTGGTGAGATGTCAATCATATAGATAACTTTCTTTCTTATTGACACTATCTACATAAGCAAAGTAGAGGTGAGTTAGGGTGAATAATGGAGTTCTCAGGATAGGCGCCACGTACTCTTTAGTAAATTACAAAAGAGAAAAGAGAATACTCACCTAAAGGGGGAAACAAGGTAGATTCAGAGATCCTTGTTCTGGTCTTGATAAGCAATAAAATAATTAATAGGGGTAGAACATAAACAACAATTGTTGTCGCAATCGAGGGTACCTAATTTAATAAATTATCTCAAAATATTACAATAGGACACTGTAATATCTAGATCTGAAATTTCAATGTTTAATTATAAATCACAAACAAGTTAAAAAGTAATCGTAAACGATTTACAGAAAGCGCATTCCCATTTGGATTCATTTCCCTTTTGTAAGATGCAACTTCTGTTAAAATCGTAAAAATCTGGCCACAAATACGAAAGATAGCGTTGCATATGTGGAATCCATTTTTGACGTGCTACTTCAATTTCTGTTTATAAGAAGAATTTCATTTCAATGCTTTTCTAAATAAGAAAGTTGGAACTGCGCATGCGCAAACCTAAATTTTAAAACTGGCGATTTTCCTTTGTTCCAAGTGCCTATAATTTCATTTGAATGCTTCCGTAACTAAAAAAGTTGGCACTGCGCATGCGCAAAACCAATTTTTGAAACTGGCGTTTGATTTTCCTTTATTGCAAATGCCTGTATATAAAATTTCGTTTAAATTTCATTTGAATGCTTCCATAAATAAAAAGTGTTGGCACTGCGCATGCGCAAAACCAATTTTGAAACTGGCAAATGGTCGAGATGCGAAAAGGGCACTGTGAATTTTGAATCGATTCAACTCAACTTTTGGCATTGCGTATTATATGGCTAAAGCTATGCCATGCCCATTTTGATTTTCATGCAATTCAATTCATATCTAACGGAGTTGTCAAAACGATCGGACATTTCTAAACAAAGTTATCGTTCACACGGACAGATAGAGGAACAGACAGACAAAGGAACAGACGGACGACAGACAGCAATACAAAATTATAAACGATCTCTAGGATAAACGGTAAAAGTGTAAAAAAGTAGAACAATAGCTCTTAAGATAAAGAACTAGTAGCGTCTCAACGAACGAGCGGACGGACGAACAAAGTGACCACAATAGCGCATTTATTTTTTATTTTTGTGGAAATACGCTAAAAAGGAATCAACTCGTAGTCAAGAAAATTATTAAAACAGAAATAAGTTGACGTAGAACACAGTGGAGCTATAATGTAGTGATTACAATTCGATTTTGTCGCAAACCAGTTTGTAATGATAGTTACATCATGGAGTCGTAGAAAATTAAACAAAAATTAGTTTCATCTCTAGTTTTAACGTCCTTTTGAGCTCAGAATGGCGCTTTTCAGCCTTATCTGTAACAAGAGAGGGATAATGAATAAATAAATAAACTGATAACAACGCAAACAAACAAACAAGAGGGGTAGTGAATAGCGCGGCACACTAATATTGCTGTATCAATGTCATCTGACGCTAAAAGAAATCGTGTACTAGAACCATAATTAATACTCGATAAGAATCAATAATTCAAATGACGTTAACTAAACAAAAGCAAAATTTACACCTTGACCTTAGACCACATAGTACATGGACTGCCATTAGCCCTATGCTTTCAATACAAAATGGGTGATCACGGATAGAGGGCACTGTAGTTGTGGGTACATGAATTTGAGAGTAAACTAAAGTCGTATGAAACCCACTCGGATCACATAAAGAGTAGCTTTTATGGTAACGGTTATGTAATGTTAAAGTCCAGTAATCTAGGGACTATGTAATGTAAAAATGACGCGCCATCGCCCATCTCGTGTATGTTCTCAGCAGCTTTTGCGTGAATGGCGCCAAATTTACATATTAAAATCAATCTATGTAAGATATGTCGCCATTATACATAGGCATATAGGTATAAACCTTGGACGAAAAATAACATAAATGATTCACAAAACTCCCGTGACATTTATAATGTCAAACGTAAATTTTTGAGTGTACCTAAACGACGCAGATGACTACTATTTAATTTGACTGTACTTGATGTCAAAAATTGGAAGATAGGTTATGTGATTCCCAATCAAAACCATATCAAATCATCAAAATCAATAAATGATTAAATAATTTCAAAGCAGTGAAATTGTCACCAACACGCTGTAACTTTTTATCTGACCAACATGGTATCGATTCCCGAAGTTAGTCGATATGCTCCGTGATGTGCATGTGATGTGACCGGCAGCCATGACGTCATGATTGTATACGATAGGGATAAGTTCAAGTTTAGCTGCATTCCCGAATCGTGGACAAACTGTATGAGCTAACCAATCACAGACAAGAATTTAACTGTCATTTGTCAGTCTTGTATTTTGTTTTGTTTTTGCATTATGGATACTGCTATTAATAACCAGAAAATCCTCGAACAATTCCGTGTTTTATTTCACAGAAAATATGTGAATTTATAGGTTAGGGCACTGAATAACCTCTATGACAAAACAGCTGCAAGATCCGTCCTGTAGCTGCAACTGCGCATGACTTCACGCAACGAGTGGTCTAGACCAGTCGTTGCGTTCGATCAACTTTTCGCTCGATGTGGTAGGTTCGAGAATGCAGTGACATTCACGTTCACATCAAGGTCAGTCGATGTGAACAAAGCACATCTTCGGGAATCGACGCCAACGTCAGTGTGACATGTCGGAAGTTTATAGCGTTTTCGATTGGCAAAACTCGTGCTGCACGAGTGCAATTTTCACGTTCTATTGGTAATTTTAGGGCAATTTTCTGTGTTCGATTGGCAAATGTGATGCAACAATTACGCACTAAATGCAAATTTTGACGCACGAGGTCTGAGAGCTCGTGGAGCAAATTTTCAAAATAAAAGTGCGCCAATTTGAATTTGTTTCTTGCGTTGGAGAGTTTTTTGTTGTCATCTAGCGATAGCGAAGATGATGCACTAGCCATATAACTTCTACTTTACAAAAAGTTGCATTTACTCTTTAAAGTGAACGCCAAAAATTGGTTCTTTACAGGAATTTCAAATTTATATTCTTCATTGTTTATCATAAATAATAGTGAAATCGTTTCAGTCATTTTTTAGAATACAGATTTGTCGATTACCTAAGTCATTGTATAAATACAAATCTAAAATGAGGTTATGGACAAATGACAGCAAATATTTACTAATATTTATGTTCCATTGAGAGCAATTTTTACATGGATTTCTTCAGTTTCTCGTGCAACACTCGTGCAGTACGAGTTTTGCCAATCGAAAACGCTATTAGTGAATACATAGCCAATTTGCGACCATACGTCAAGATAAAGGCGCATGTACAGTCATTGACAAAAGTAATGATCCCCGAATAGGAAAATCATATAGTACAGTGTGTAAAGCGATGGGGTATACAAGAGGGATTTTTTTTAAAATATTGATTTATGAAAAACTTTTATTTTTCATATTTTTTGCTTGCTTTGAAAGTACCAGTAACGTTTCGATTGTTTGTGGTTTGATAGCAATACGCTATCTTGATTATAATGTAGAATGATAACTTTCAATAAAAAAAATTATTTTTATTTTTCCAGATTTCTATAAATAAATTTTAGATTATCGAAATGTTATTGGTACTTTCAAAGCAAGCAAAAAATATCATGAAGAATAAATTTTTTTCATAAATCAATATTTTTAAAAAAATTCCCTCTTGTATACCCCACCGCTTTACACACTGTACATATCATATTGATATTTGGAAGTTGTAAATTTTACACTACATGAGATGTCAAATCGTTATTTATCACCAATTTTCATGGGAAAAAGACTAAACTCGATTGCTCGATTCCCAAATTTTGCTACGAAAAAATTGTTACTACGAAGATGTCAAAATCATTATTTATGCACCAATTTGGTTGAAGAAAAGACCAAACTCAATTGCTCGATGCTCAAGAGGTGATCTATATGAACTTTTGCTTACCGAAATATTTTTAAGCAAAAAATGTCAAAATATGCCTTCCAGTCTGCCCATGTATGTGGATTGCGCTGGCAATACCGACATAGTAGTGGTTTTGGTTTACTTGTATTGGTATTAAAACCCTTGTGAGTGTTTCTTGAACTGAACTGTGTGCTTATCCAATTTATTAGTATTCTTGTTATTGGGAAATGTTATAGTTATTTTAAACAATATTATTTTGAAGAACTTTATGATTTTAGTGGAAAGAAAGGTGGGTAAATTTCTAAATATCAGTTTATCAATTGAAATCTTAAAATTTTATTGTAATCAAAACGTCAAGAGGGTCAATTTTGTTTTATGTGACACTGTTTTGACTAGGTATACTGCCTCGATTCCATACTTGAAAAAATAATGTATCGTATTTCCGGTTTACTGTTGAGTTTGGAAAATGCCATTCCCAAAACAAAACGCGGTTCCAATCTGCGAATTAAGGAAGTGAGTATCTGCTTCAATTTTATCTGAAAACACACACTACCCTTGGAATAAGCTATTTTCGATTGGTTCAATTGTCTTAACATTTTTATGGTGGCGCCCTATGAAATAATCATTAAAGTGGCAAGTCAATTGGTATGAGGTGATATAAATAGCACAACGTGCTAGAAATCCGCCAAGAAAATTGATGCATAAATAACGATTTTGACATCTTTTGGCTAGAAATATTTTGGTTACCAAAATGCATATGGATCACTTCTTGGGCATAGTAAGTTTGAATGAGTAGGAGTTTCTCTTTAACAGTAAGTGTAGATAAAGTAATCACTTTGACCACAAGGGGAGATGAAGTGATCACTTTGACGACAAGGGGAGATAAAGTGAAAAAATATTGTGCATTTTAATGACGTCTGTCATTCGTATTAAAAAAGAGACGCGGGGCACGAAACAAAATGAAGTTCAGAACACACAAAAATATTGTGGCGAACTTATGCTTCCTATTTTTGATGTCTAAATTAAATTAAGATCTTTTTTATTATACCTGAATCACAATCTCCGTTTTAAACACTCAAATGCGTGCGAAAAAGGGCCTTTAAAACACACGTGCTTTAAAGTTGCTAAGTAACGATACTTCAAGTATGACTTTTGAAACTGTCATCTGGATGAAATAAAAAATCCTCTTAGGTCGCTTTCTGTAAATGCAGAACATTTCTTTGGCTTTTGTATCTATCCTTTGGTTGAAGCTTTCACAAACGCGCGTAATTTAGGGTATGCTATGTTCCACTCTTTAATCGCAGCATTGCTTTAAAGTTTTGAATGAATGCACCAAAATATAGAAGATTTAAATACCTTTGACATTTCCTTCATATATGCCAGCATTATGGATGCATTTAAGACTGTATTCGTAAGTAACTTCCTATTCATCCATGGAAACAACTTTTCATATTCTTTATAATAGGCTTTACTGGAGTTGGATTTTACACCTACCAACGTTTGTTTAGATTTTACAACAATCGATTTAATGGACGGTGTATTATCTTTTTCAACGGAAATCGTTTAATTCACAAAGACGATGATTTTTATAAGCAAACGTCAAGTGACATTTCCATGGCAATCGTGAAATTACGAACACCCAGCCCACTTAATTAGACATGTATTCGAGTATAACGTCAATATGACTTCATTGTATTCCCTATTTTTAAATTATACTGCAGGTATAATAAAAAATACTATAAGATACACGTGTATAATTAGTCTTTAAAGCACTTGCAACGTTAAAGGCACTCCGCTTTGCGTCGTGCCCTTAAACTCGTTGCGCGTGCTTTAAAGACTTGATTATACACTTGTATCTTAATATACTATTAAAGGTTTTATCATAATTTTTGTGTGCCTTCTGCTGTAAAATAAAGTTGTTAGAGCATCTTTTTATCGTCTTGTATAATAAATAACTATTATTTCTCGATTTCTCAATAAGAAAGTGTTTAGTGTGGTCTCTCTCTACAGTAGAGGTCGGGTACACAGTACTAGTAGTATCAGTAAATTATTTTTTTGCTAATCTAAATAAACTATACCTAGCATTATTCTATTTTCAGGGGCGTTCTTCCACAAGTGATTCTATCTCATCTTATCGACGGAATTAAGGTAGGATATCCCATTCAGATGATCGATCTGAATGTTACCGATGATATGCGTCATACAATACTAACGGCCATTAAAAATACACTACCCGAAGTAGGCAACGGTTCGCTCTCCGTAATAAAAAACGCCTGTCCTCCAGAGATTTCGATGGACGCCTTAAGAGTGGTAGTCGCGTATCAGCAGGTGAGGACGCATTTGTCGAAACTAAACATTCCGTATGAGGAGTTTGAATCATCTCTAGAAGATATCGGACAGTTAGATATGACAAGTGTTAGTGACACCTCCATGAGTAGCACTCCAAAAGCTAAGTTGAACTTTTCAAGTTTATACAAGAAATCTGATAAACGGTGCGCAGATAGTGATGGCTCAACGGATGTAGGTAGCGGCAGTACTAGTGAGATTGACAATCAACGGATCAAAAAACAAAGACTGACAGAATCGCCTGCAGCAAAGAAGGATGATTTAACATTTCTAGATTCACCGCCAAGATCGTCTCATTCTCTTTCTGATACGATTGTGAAACGTGAAGTTGCAGATGTAAATCCGTGCTCATCTCAAGCTGACGTCAAATCCTGTAATGTAAGCTCTTCGCTGTTAGATGATGATTTCTTCGATGACCAGCTGTTGGAGAATGTAGACAAAGTTGTTGCTTTAAGTCCGACTGTTTCACAGAATGGTCAACATAAAGTAGTGAATGCTTTAAGTCAGCAAGAAAAATGTCAAAGTCAACCTCTACTGGATTGTACGACTACCTCCAAAAGTAATCTCACAAAGAAATTCAACTTTAAATCTATGGTCCCTAAGTCTGTTACAGAAAAAGCACAGCAACTTTGTTCTAAACAACCGTAAGTTGTCAAGGTGTTTTAATCAAATTACGGTTTCGTCATTAGCAGTTTTTACTTTATTTTCCACAAATATACTTTAGTTTTGTTGGGATTTAAATGTTTTAATGCGAGCCCACCATTTATTGTTGATTATTGAGAAGTATTAATGTTTTAGTTGATAAGTAGCGTAGAGTTGAATGTGTAATCCAATTGTGTGGAAGTACAACCCAGATCTTGTAAGAACGGTATTTAGGTATAGTGAAAAAAAAAGGAATACTGTATGATAATTAGTAACTCTTTTTTAATAAACAATTTTTATTTCTAAACAAGATTTTCACGTTTCTTCCATTCTGCTTTAAGCAAACTTAATTTCACTTGTTTTCGTTTCTTGTCTTTTCCCTTTTTATCTTCGTATCTTTTCCTTTGTGCTTCTACGCTATCGATACCATTCACTAAATTGTCTAGTTTATCAACTAACAGGGCTCTGGCTTTCTTGCGATTTTCTTCTAGTGATCTTGTTTCATGACATTTCACAACAACACCTGCAAGTAAATAGATATAGTCAGTAAAATGAGTAAGTTCGCATATCGGATTAGGTTATACATCTTTCCTTATTTAAAACATGACATTTGAGGTAGAGGGCAAGTGCGTATCTAGTTTTACGAACCGCGGGCGGTGAACTAAGAATTACACTGGACGTTACAGACGTTTAAAATGGAGGTTGTTGCAGCAAAAAGAGAAAGCAATAGTTAAGGTATGTTGGTCTCGGAATGGGAAACACCCACTTAAAACACGTTTGAGTGTCACTGGCTTGACGCTTTTAAGTGGGTGTTTCCCATTCCGAGACCAACATACCTTAACTATTGCTTTCTCTTTTTGCTGCAACAACCTCCATTTTAAACGTCTGTAACGTCCAGTGTAATTCTTAGTTCACCGCCCGCGGTTCGTAAAACTAGATACGCACTTGCCCTCTACCTCAAATGTCATGTTTTAAATAAGGAAAGATGTATAATCTCATGCGCGCTGTGAATATAAGCGCTAATCCGATATGCGAACTTACTCATTTTACTGACTATATTACACAAATTTTACCAATGCTGCGTATCTATTCAACGTCACAAGGTGTTTAAAACTATACAGGGTGTCCCATCCCAATTGCGCGAAAAGGTGACCTAGGAGTATTCTAAAAATTTGTTAGTGCACTAATGTCAATATGAGAAATTCATCTAAAATATTTATAAGTTGACACCAAGGTTGGCACAGTATAACCGGAAGTTGATGCCGACTTACTTATTTTAGATGGAACACCTTATATATTATTTCATTTTTAGATTCTACAAAAAATTCTCTATAATTTCTTTCATATCCTCTACCTACACTTTTTTGACATATTTTAATATGTCAAATGACTGCAGATGAAATCATAACTGCCAAATATGCGTTTTTAAATGATAGCTGATATTATTAAATTGGGGTTGGTTTCCTTTTAATAATAATAATGACTTTATTTGGACAAACTATGACAAATATACAGGATGGGCCCTTACTGTGTGGGTGGACGATTGTGGGTTTATTATGCGCCACCACGAAAGCCATATTGGAAAATATTAACACAAAATAAAATGAAATATCATCTGTCAGTTTAGTTTATTAGCATTTACAATTCTGTTGTTGATTGTTGTGTTAGAAAAATGGAATTTGAATAACATATTTTAAATGGTGCTCTTTACTTGAATAAATTTTTAAGTACTCTTTTTTTTACTCTTCTTCAAAATGTTCTGGTGCACATCGTAGAAGAAATGTGGTTTCAGCATGATGGTGTCCTACCTCATTTTGCTATTGTAACGTGATTTATTAATTCGATTCGATTTATATCAATATTTATTAAACAAAACTAAAACACTATAAAAACCGTACAATTTATATCGATTATTATATCACACACACTTCGCAATTTTTCCGTGCTCGATCTCGTTCGATAGTAGACTGCCGCGATGTTCGGTCCGCAACCATTTATACACGCAAGCAATGTAAGTCCAGTACATTCTAGAATATTCCTACACAAAATCACTATCGCGCGTAGAAAATTCCAGAGCGCCAAAGGCGACGTCATGTATGGAGCATTTCCGTTACACTATAAACGTTAAGAATCACTGAATCAACAATTTCCTGGGAGATGTGGTCTTGAACATTTATTGAAATAATTATTTGTCTCTTCTTTTTATTTAAACTTTTTATTTTGATTTTTTTAAGTTTTTGTTTTATTTTATTTGGAGTAAATTTTTTATAAATTCAATTGTTTATAATTTATAACGGCCTATTAATTACTGAGACGTTTGTGTGCTGTGATTAAGCATGGTTCACCAGTGTGTCACTGCAGTGTTCTAATAAGTGGTTAAATCTTATCCTTTGTGACTAACTTGAACTGCATGTGGTAGTACAACTTTGCCTTCATTTAACTGAATTTGTATCTCTTAAGCCCATCACACAATGAAAAAAATAAGGGATAAGAAATATGGAATAAGAACTAGTGACGCCGTACAAACAAAACACAATACAAAAATAGCAACAGACTATAAGCCAATCAGAACACTCGCACCGTTTGAATTTATGACGTGCTTTACCTTTACCGAATGCTTCCTAACCTCATTGTTATTATTACACAGCTGGTAAGTTGTCCAAACTTGAATTTTTTGTTTGTAATTAAATTGCTGATAAAGTTACAAGTGAATAAACACCTCGTACTTGTTTTATTTTAGGTTAACGAGGTAAAATAATGGATATAGAATTTTCAATGACCTGCAAACATTTGTTTGTTTTGTCATTAAGTATAAATATGTTACTACGGTGATACTTAATGCTCCAGGATACTTTACCCAGAACAAAAAACTTAGAAGGGAAACGTAAACAACTGAGTACAAATATAATTAGTTTGGAGAACATTCAATAGATGGCGCATAGTTAGCGTGCGTGTTAAAGTTACTAAATCTATTATCTAGTGACTTTAGTACGTGTCGCCATTATGACAGTTGAATTTTGATTGACGGCTTATTGTGCTTTAAGTATAATTACTATTCATTATTACAATGAATTATGCATATACAAATCGAAAACCTAAATGTTGTGTGACAAATTGTGAAGACGTTTCCCAAAAATGGAGCCCGAAGTTTTTATGTAATTGGTTTAGAATATAATGTGGAAGAAATTTACACAAAAGTTTTTGGTTTGTAAACGTCATTTTTCTGGTTGCGCTTTAGAACCTGGAACACGAAGAGGTTTAAAGCGTCTGGCAGTTCGCACATTATCTTTAGCAGGTAACACTAATTGAATTGTAATAAATTGCTACATATTTTGTTTTTAGAACGATCTTGAGAGCATCATAAATTAGAGTTCCATGAAGTTGATCTTGTATCTTGTATATCCACATTAAATTAAATATAACTCCTTGATTGGATTAATTGGAGTTGTTACTTATAAAACAAGTGGTCTGTACTCTTTGAAGCCCCTGACTGCTGAGGTGCATCGGCATTAAACTGAATTTATCTGGATCCCTAACAAACAAAATTGGACTTCACTGGCTGGATTCATTTACCTTTTAGGTTTCAGCTAGTTAAATCCAATGTTATTGTTACAGATCCTGAGAAATGCAGTATAATGCGGACGTAGCTTACATTTTAATACTTAAATTTGGCGCCATTCACGCAAAAGCTGCTGAGAACATACACGAGATGGCGCGTCATTTTTACATTACATTTTCCATTCTAAGTGTGTTGTTCTTGTTCTATGATACTTTATGCCCGGGGTGTCACAGATATAAAACGTGCTATGATGTTAGTAAGACATAAAAAAATATAAACACCATTTGTGTACACTATATAAGTAATGAAAATCATCTACAAAACAATTATGCCATTCGCTTCTCACCTGTCGGCAAATGTTTGAGTGTAACACAATTAGCAGTCTTATTAACGGCTTGACCGCCCGGTCCACTACCTCGAACGAACTGTTCTTTTAACTCTGTTTCTACAAGGACGGGTACTTTCGAAGAATCTGCTGTAAATTTCGTACGAATTGAGTAACCTACGATCTTTAAGGCAGCTTTAAATCTATGTAGCATTTTAAACGACGGCTCGTTTTTCAAGTAATGATATTCCTCTCTAAAACGGTTTACGCTATGAAATGCAGCTGCATTCTGCTCTGAGTGCTTACCTTATAATTGAATTGTATGTCGGCTTCGTCTGTTATATCACGATTTTGTCGAAACTCGTTCTTGATGCGTCTGGCAAAGTAGTTTTTATCCGTATATTGTAATTCTTGGCCGTAACGTAGCAAATTCTTATATAGTTTTAAAATATCTTTGGCATTGGGGTGCATATTTCTGTGTGCGAATCAGTTAAAAATTGTTAGGTTATATTGGTGCTTATTGTCCGTCATGAGTGACTGTGTCTAAATTACAGCACGGTAAACTTTACATCCTTTTTTTTTGGATATGCTTCTACACATTTAAAGCAGGAATGAAACCGGAACCATTGATTGTGTGTATAATCAATGCCGGAACCAATAATTTGTATGTATAGACGCCTGACTTGGGAACCGGAACCGTTTACAAAAAGTTATGATAACTTATCCGGTACCGTTATTATTAGTGCCGAAGAAGCGGTATTTTGCGCTTCTCTTTTGTAAGTAGAGTAAACACGTTGCTCCCTGTGACAGGAAATCTGTTTTATATTTGTTGTTCTTAAAATTCAATTCTGAAGTGTGTGGTAACCTACCCGCTCTGTATACACCAATCGTGCTCCGTTTTCGATTTGGGCTGTTCTGCGCAGATGCCAAAGACCAAGGGATTTTCATAACGCGAAGCTTGGAGAGAAAGTAGAGTGGGTTAACGGTATTCCAATCCGAGACCGGTTGTGTGCGTAATACATTTTTTCTACGACCTCTCTGAAAATAAGATCATATAACGTATAATCGTGAGGTTTATGTTTTTATCTGGTTCGTAAAAAAGTACACACTGTATTGAGTAGCATTTTTTATTAATCCCAATCTATCCAAACTTACTGAGCCTATTGGACTCACCATGAGCTCATCAAACTGAGTCGGCTCTGTGATCGCTACTAGAGACTGCAGTGTTTAGTGCTCTGATCGGATCAGCTGGGTTTTCCAACTCGACTTCCCACCTCTCGTTTACACTGCATACAATATTACTGTTTTTGAGTACCTACTAGAAGTTTTAAAAATGAAGTTTTTATTACATAAAAAAAAGTTTCACAGTAGATAATACAAGCAGATGATTAAACATTGCTATTTAAATAGAAAAGAATATGTTTCCTATTACCTCTGCTACCTACTGGGTTTCCGCCCAGTTCCATTTGCAACTGTGCCAAATTTTTTCCCTTTGGCTCGATAATACAATAATAGCAGTACATAGTTCCTATAAGCGATGCAATTCCTAATACAAAATATGGAATATAATGGAGTTCACACGCGTATAAAATAATAAAATACTTTGTAACTACACATACACAAAGCCAGTGCAAAGAATATATCACAAGTTTAGCCACCCTATGTAACTGACGGGGTACATAATCATATACAAGAAGATCTGCGCAGATACTGTATCCTACTTCATAGGCGACCACTAGCATATTTTCTAAAATCACTTGGACGTAAGAATTCTTCAAGAAAAGAGCGTTTCTGTATTTCCGGTGTAGAAAAAGCATATGAAATGCCTGCATCATTAAAGCTATACTAGTGAGAGTGCTGCTAATTAATAGTGACCGCCGTATTCTAAAATTGAAAAAAATATGGAAGCAATTTCCAAAAAAGTTACTTACTATCAAATTGATTGCGAAAATTAGGTTGTCTGCGAAAATGCTAAACACTATGACGGATTTTTCATAGTAGGGCAATCTGTAGATGATGTGCACGTGGTAACCTGAACAAACTCGAAAAAAGTTCAGAATGACGATGACCAAAATCGCTTTCATTATAGATTTCGATAAAAACATGTACGTAAATGTGTTTTTGGATTCTTCGTAATCAGCTCGAATTAGGAGTAGTGTGGTGTACACATTTTCCGGTCCCTGGTACCATTGTATAGATTCTCTACATTGATTTTCGCTCTTATCGTATAAAAATCGGGGACTTTCCGGTAAAAACAAAAGAAGCAATGCGTTTGCAAGAGGAATTGCGAGACACGTCATCGCCAATAAAAAATTGCCGTAGGCGTTTCGAACTAAATACGCAATAAGAAAGCCAACCATTCGTGATGTGCGGAAAATGATTAAAGCATACTTCAAATTTGTCCTGTGCACGGCATTTACGAGAAGATTTTCTGCGTTAGTGAAATAAACTATGCTACATATCCCGATGAAAAAGTTGCATAACACTGTTCCTTTTGCAACTCCGATGTAGGATAGCATATAGAACGGTGTGTCTATTAGCATAGTCTTTTTCGGTCCCAACGTTTTGACCATGTAAAAGGAAAAGCTTAATCCAACAGAGCACCCCAAGGGAATTAGAGACCATGCCCAAGTTTGTTCAGGACAGCTTTCTTTCGGTACGTTAGATTGAGACATAGGCCATCCTAATGATGTTCCAAAAGATATTGCCGAAATGCATGCTGTAAGAAAATATTAAATTAAGTGCATGCCAATAGATAACTCGTGAATTAGACAAATAAATCGAATTTTTGAATTCTGTCAGTTCAGTTGACCTTATTAATATTAACATGGTCACGTTTTGGAAATATGTTCCTACCTACCTGTGAGTACGACATACGACTGAACTATTAATTTGCTAATGTTTCTTTGCTTGCTCTTCTTTAACAACTCTTCTTCGGTCATTGAGTATGGATTTATATGCAATTCGGAAGAAGTATCCAAATCGTCCAACTCATCAGTACTTTCCATGTTTTGAAGAAGTTTTGACTTCTGACTTCTGTCAGTACACTTGCGACTATATTGTCAAAGTGTAGGTACTTAGTTGGAACCCTATATTTTATATTCAAAGGTTGGAACTATACCTACACCACAGTATATCTTATATACTGTGCGTACACTATAAAAAACAAGAACCCAATAAACACGAATATAAATCGTACATCGCATATACATATTTTTCGTGTAAATAATGCTACGTAAGATGGAATATGTAAAGTACACATATATTCTATGTAATAAAAAGTCATACGCACTATTTACGTCATTTATATATCATTACTCCAACGTTTTATTAGTGTTCTAGCTGCCTACGTTGCTTGTATGTTGTTGGCATGACATTTATACAATGTTATTATTATAATGTATATTTTATGTTAGGCATCCTGCTTACTATTTACATAATAATCTGTCGTATGATGATACATCCTGTATACATAAAATGATAACGCCTTAGACGTATAGCCGTATAGGTTATGGTAGCTACTATAACTTAAGGTATTATACCTTACTATAACTTATAAAGTGTGCGTGTTTGAACGTTTTGTTTGTTCACTTTACAGGCTGTGCATTTGACTAGAACTAAGGTGTTTTATATAGTTATTCACGGTGGACATCTAATATTATTAAGGAGACTATAAGGTAAGTGATATTTATAGAAATCCATTTGTAGTAGTAGGGGTTTCCCTCTTTTTCCCAATAGCCATTCAGCACTATTCTTTTGAGTGGCAAAATTTTGCTTTTCATCATCCAGTAGATGAATATTAATCAAGGACGTTAAAAATTAACGTCCTTGATATTAATAGTTATCGTGAATATGAATAATAAGCGTAAAATTAAAAACTTTTATGAGTTGTCTAAACGCCAACAAAGGCGTAGAATATTGGCGAGTCATAATTTAAATAATCAATTAAGACGGGCTGAAACCTGAAACTGTTAGTAACAATCAGTGCAATGTTTCTCTGGAAAATGAAAGTAATATACAGTCGTCATCCACAACTACATCACTTCAAAAGGACAACCAGAATTTGTTCGATTGCGCATCGTCACCATTCGCAACATGTTACAGTTCGTCATCCGTCTCTGATACTGATACATCTTATCAATGTCTTCCTACAAACGATAAACCTGAAGTTAACTTTGATAGTGATCTGCGTGATTTAATTATAAAACATAATGTTACTCATCGATTTGTTAATGATTTATTAATACTATTACGTAATAATGGGCACCCTTCTTTACCCAGTGATGTGCGGACATTCATGAAAACACCTGTTAATACCTCGAATATGATTTGCACTGTAGCTGGTGGAGAGTATATACACTTTGGGTTAAGAAAAATGTTAATTGATTCATTATCATATCATAACTATACATGTGCGGTTGTTAGCCTTAACTTTAATATTGATGGACTACCTATTTCTAAAAGTTCAAATGCACAGTTATGGCCAATCCAAGGAGCGATTCATGTAAAGGACACTTATATAGAACCGTTCATTATAGGTTTGTTTTATGGTATGAAAAAGCCATCAGATGCAAATGAATTTTTGAAACCTTTCTGTATCGAAGCCAAGGATCTTCTAGAAAATGGATTATTTCTGAATAATAATAAAATATTAGTTAAGATAAATGCTTTCATATGCGATGCCCCTGCTAGAGCATTTATCACTGGTACAAAAAATCACAATGGATATTTTGGGTGTTCTAAATGCACCACAGAAGGAACTTTTATAGACAATAGAGTTACATTTCCCGAATTAGACGCAACCTTACGTACAGATTCCTCATTTCAGCAAAATCTACAAGAAGAACATCACAAATCAAATACTATCCTTAGTACTTTGAACGTAGGGATGGTAACTCAACTACTGCTTGACTATATGCATCTTGTTTGCCTAGGAGTAATGAAGAGACTTCTCCAGTTCTGGATAAATGGTAAAAAAGATTTGAGATTGAATGATACTTCAAAAGAAATAATGAACAAAAAATATGTGTCATACAGGAAGTTGATAACGTCTGAATTTAGCAGAATGCCAAGAAGTTTATTGGAGATTGATCGTTGGAAGGCTACAGAACTACGTTTTTTTTTGATTTATGGTGGTGTAGTTGTGTTGAAGTGTTGAAGGATATATTGAGGAAAACATATTATGAACATTTCTTATGCTTAAGTATTGCCATTCGAATTTTGTGTAGTGGGCAGTTAATTGAACAATATATGGAGTATGCTGAAAAACTGTTGTTGTACTTCGTAAAGCAATATTCAACTTTATATGGAGAGTGCTTTATGTCGTATAATGTTCATAATTTAATTCATGTTTGTGACGATGTTAGGAAATTAGGTGCTCTTGATAATTATAGTGCATTTAAATTTGAAAACTATATGGGAAATATTAAAAATAAAATCAAGACTGGTTCTAATCCACTTCAGCAAATTTTTAATCGCATTATGGAAAGTAATAACCGAGGTGATAAGGTACTACAACCCATTAAAGCATCGATTATTGTTTACCCTAAAGTTGTTACAAAAAAAGATCAAATCCACTCACTAGAATTTAAAACTTTTAAATTAACATGCAAAGAACCAAACAATTGCTGTTTGTTGGAAAATGGAAATGTAGCATTAATTCATAATTTTTTTAAAAAAAACGGGCTCATTTTTGCCTTAATGCATAAGTGTACATTACGTAAAGATTTTTTTGCAGTTCCATGTGAGTCATCTAATTTTGATATATATGATCTCCTCACAGACAAGGATAATATAGAAGTTTTAGAAATACCCATAACAAACATAAAACAGAAGTGCATAATCCTAAAAACAATTAAAGATGAAAATGTAGTGCTTCCCATTTTGCATGTTGATTAACAATGTAGTGAATTTAGAAAACTAAACAAAATGTGTTAATATAAATGAACAAAATATAATGATTCAATAAAACAGCAAAACCTTCAATTCAGGAAAAATGCATCACATCTGAAATAATTGTAAATGAAGACATATACTTATTTAGAATTTATGTTTCATTATGTTATTGTATTTTTATTTTTTAGATGGCTTTTGCAGTAGTACGATTTCTGGATGAGGTGGATTCTTACTCGGAAATTCCAGTATCCTGGATTTCAGACGACAAATTATACTGTTATTGGCCTAGCCATAAAAACTGTGGACAATTAATGGCAAAAGGTGTGATACCAGATGATTCATGGGGCTGCGAAAGAATAGGTATAGAAGGATATTATGGTATGTTATAGCTCTCAATACAAATTGTTTTGTTAAGTAATCTTATTCTTCACATAGATACTTTGGAGAAAGCCAGGAAAATGGCCAATGACCCAAATTATACATCACATGATGAAGAACGCAAGAGATGTCCCAAGCCTTCAAAATGGGTCAACATTAACACCAGCGATGAGGGTACACTATATTTCTAATGTATATTTATGTTTTAAATGTTGCAATAGGCAGGTAGAGGTAATTACCAGGTTTTATTTTTTTTTGGAACAACATTTTGCCCAATATCTGCAATTGTTTTTTTCAAACAGAATTAGGTGACTTCAATATCAGTCAATCAATTCCACAGACAATGACTAAGTACCTACTTTCTCAATAATAAACTTGCATATTGCAATTTGCTTATTGCTTATCGTCTCAGTGTGAGAGCTGCCTCAGAGTTATTAGATTGAAAAAGCACTTGTCATTGTCTGTGGAACTGACTGACTCTGATATCTAAGTCACCAAATTCTTACGTTGGAAGAAAAACTTTGAAATGCTTTGTAAGTTCTGTAGTGACATTTTTGCTTTAGATGAGAATGAAGGCATCATTGATGAGCCACCACAATTACCAATAAAAACCAAAACAAAAATTAAAGACAAAAGGTTGACACCTGCTTCCCAACAACATACCTCACAGCATACAGATCAAATATCAAGTAAGTTTTAAAAATAGTACCTAGTCCATAAATTACATAGAATCACCAAATAAAATAGTCTTGATTTATATTATTCATATTTTATATGAACTGCGTGTGTTGAATCGCTACACAAATACTCTTTGTAGATGTTACAACATATGAAATTCGGGATGGCCTTTTGACCCAAATCGAAAGCGAACCAACGGTAACTGATCTTTTGCAAACAGAGAATCTCCAAAACATACCTTCGCCCGAAGGAAATAATGAACATTCCCCTAATCTTGATGCAGATGAGGATGAAGTTAATATAACCATAGGTAAAAATAATTAATAATTAGCAAACTTGAAGTTGGGATGTCTTTTAGAAATTTTATTAAAATACCTATACCAATATATGTATGTCTATTAGTCAGAATTGTAAAAGTGTTTATTTGTAATTAACAAATGTTTTTATTTTAGAAAAAATGAACAAATTAATATTAGAGAATAACTATTACCTCAAACAAATTCATAAAAGGCTGTGCAATTTAGATTCTATTAAGAAAATGGAACCCACAAGCACAGTGACTGAAGCTCTTGCTAAAAAGTTCCCACTCACCAGTCTTGAACAACTTGTAGAATATGAAAAAGAATGTAGTTCTACGAAGGATATACAGGGTGAATCAGAGCACCCGTCCCAGGCTTTTATCTTGGAATAGAGACGCCTTAGAGTTTTAGGAAAAAAATTTTCATTACCAAAGCCTACCTGAAGAATTTAATGGTAGTAGTCTCTATTTCCGGAATTAACCGGAAGTAGGCGTAACAGCACTCAACTTCAGAATTTCAAATGGAACCCTAGGTCTTGTGTGGTATCGTTGGATAGGTATTTTGAAAACAAACAACTTTTGTAGGAAACATTTTTTTTTGTAAAAAGAGTTATTTACGAAATAAAATTAATAAATATGTTATTTACGAAATAAAAATAAATAAATAAAAAAGCTGACTTAAAACCAAATGATTCCTGCTGTTCCCGGCTACTGCGATTTAATTCAAGTGTTTTTGTTTGAAAAGGTAAGACAGATATTGTTTTGTGTAAATAGCAACGTAGTTTTTTGTCATTATTACGACAGGTAATAGTAACTTTACACCTGCATTTTAATGTTAAATTTACATTATTTGTTTAAATTTTTCTTCCATACACACATGTGCAAAGGGTTTTTTATTGTAACAACATGGTATTTTCAAACCGCGAAGGTTTCGATATGCTGATGGTGTTGGGTGAGTGTCGTCAAAATTATAGAGCAGCTGAGAGATTATACGCTGAGCGATACCCTCAGCGACCCGTTCAGTCGAGGAAAGTGTTTCAACGCCTCGCTGATCGAGTTAAGATGACTGGTGAGGTACAACCGAAACACAATAAGAATCGGCGCATCGGACGGTATGTACAGGATGAAAGAGCGCCTGATATCCTTGCCGCTGTTGCTCTGGACCCACACGTTTCAACCAGGAGACTTGCAATCGACGCTGGGATGAGTCAAATGACAGCTTGGAGGATTTTAAATGGCAACAAATTATATCCATATCATGTTAATTTACATCAGGCACTTGGAGGACAAGATTTTCAGAGACGGTTAGATTTTTGCGAATGGTTATTGAACCAAAACCAAAACTTCCATCACAAAATTCTCTGGACCGATGAAGCAACGTTTAAAAGCAGTGGCGATGTTAATATTCACAACGCTCACTATTGGTCTCGTGAAAACCCGCATTGGCTACGTGAAGTGGATAACCAGAATGTTTGGAGTCTTAATACCTGGTGCGGCATTTTAGGAGGCCGAATTATTGGTCCGCATTTCTTTGACGGCCATTTAAACGGGGCCGTGTACAACGATTTTCTGGAGAACATCCTCTATGACCTTCTAGACAACGTCCCAATTGCAATACGTGCAGAGATGTGGCTGCAACAAGACGGTTGCCCAGCACATTTTTCGAGAGTATCTCGCCAAACTGCCAATCGTCTCTTTCCTAATCGCTGGATGGGAAGAGGAGGTCCGTTTCCTTGGCCAGCTCGTTCCCCTGACCTGACACCACTTGACTTCTTCCTCTGGGGACGAGTCAAAGATATTGTTTATCAACAGCGCCCAACCACGAGGGAGAATATGAAGGAAAGAATTCGAAACGCATGCCGTTTGCTCAATGAAAATGAGGTGCTTAGGGCAGTCGACAACGTCCGACTTCGGCTACAAAACTGCATCAATCAAAATGGAAGACATTTTGAACATATTAATTAATATTTATTTCGTAAATAACACTTTTTACAAAAAAAAATGTTTCCTACAAAAGTTGTTTGTTTTCAAAATACCTATCCAACGATACCACACAAGACCTAGGGTTCCATTTGAAATTCTGAAGTTGAGTGCTGTTACGCCTACTTCCGGTTAATTCCGGAAATAGAGACTACTACCATTAAATTCTTCAGGTAGGCTTTGGTAATGAAAATTTTTTTCCTAAAACTCTAAGGCGTCTCTATTCCAAGATAAAAGCCTGGGACGGGTGCTCTGATTCACCCTGTACATACAGCGTTGGTAAGATATAAAATATTTTTAAGACCATTGGCTCTACAGGCAACTTTTATTTTAGAGACATTATATTAAAAAAATTGGTGGCAAGGGGCCGAAAGACAATGTTCATCGTTGTTTAAGGACTATTTATTCAAATGAGCTGGCAAAATGTTGTTCATGGTTAGGCTTTAGAGGCAATTTCAAAATAAAAGGCACTCTAGTAATGAATACCATTCAGGGTAAGGTTTAAACATACCTTTTCTTTTTTTTAGTTTGTACCTGTTTCAGAAATTATATTACACGAGTTCAGTACAATGACTGATGCCGGATTTGAGACTATCGTAAGCGAATGGTTTCGGTTGGCGGCGTCAAGACTGAAATCAAAACCATTACCTAGCTCTTAATACCGATAATACAGATACATTTACTTTTCGTTTATTGCAAATTTTAAGGATACATATTTATTTTTCTAATGATTGTTATATATCGTTATAATCTACTAATAAACCCATCACATTAATCAATCAAGATCTTCATTGTGACCTTAAAGACCGTTTTGCATTTTAAAGATTGCAACGACTGACATGTGGTTGTAAAAGCATGGTAGGTAATTGTATGTTATTAACATTGGGTAACTATGTTGTTCATTTGCATTATAGAAGCGCGATATATGATCTGAACTGTGCATGATCTGTTTGCCTAAACCGATATAAATGAAAATTGGTTACCCAATGCTTATCAAATGGGGGCACCTGAGCTATTTATATAGGTACGACATAGTAACTGCACAGCCTCTATAATGAAAGCTAGTAAAGCTCTGGAATGGACGGATCATGTAGCTTCTATGTAAATAGAAAATATAGAAATTATATATGAAAGAAGTATGTAGTCTGATATCTGAAGGATATAATATATACAGAAGATGAATGTATGGCATATATTAATTTTTATGTATATACTACAGAATATATTTGACGTAGAATCATTACATAGAATTTACATACAATGGAGGAAAAAAAATGCTGACATTAATACGAAATATATATCCTAAATCTCCTTCAAATTTATGTAATTGTGTATGACTTTACATATATGCTATACATATTTTAGATGTAATATTGTTCATTGGGAAGGAATGAAGAAATTCTAACGGGAATTATACATTGTCAATGGTTTATATTCAACGGTCAATCTAAAATATCTTCTAAAAAAACGTTACAAAGCGAAAGAAAAATACAAACATTCGACCCAAGAAACTCCCCTAAAGCGCTGCTTCATTTGATTAATTACAAGTCCTGTTATATTTATATTTTATAATTGAGAAATATTTCCACTGTTTCTGATCTTCTGCTTGGATTCTACGTCTCAAATCGTCTCGAATGTCTCACGCTATATTGTCAGTCAGAGTTGACAAAGATAATATTATTTTTTGGTACAATAATTTCTTTCAAAGAAACAGAAGTTGAAGTAAGAACCTTGAAAGGTTCCACTCTGTATATATACCTACAACTTACGACGATACATACATTTTTGAGAGTGTTGAGCAATCATGCAATTTGTAGGTGGGAAAAAGCTGCCTGCGCCACCTAAAAAGCACGAACAGGGATTACGTTGGGCATCTTGTCTTGAATGGCGATAGTGAACGCGTCGCTCCATAAATGTTTGTTGTTATTTTGTGTTATTTAATGCAGGTAGTAATTTTTGCATTTCTTTAGATCGTATTTGTGGTTTGTATGCCGCATTTTATATTTTTTTGAGAGTTTCAATCTTTGTTGTTGAAATTTACTTGATTTAACCGCAATGCAGAATGACATGATAAATACCGTTATGCTATTGTTTGTAATTGTTTACGTTTTTGGTATAATGCTTGCTTAATTTATGTTTATTGATGTTGATTACTTGATCTTGTCCGTGAAGTAACATTCATATAAAACTTAATCATTTTATTTTAATATGTGGAAATTACCGATTCGTTTGATGTATGTACTGACTTGTTGTTTGTAACTAGCAATTTTCTCCGTGAATGAAGAGTCACGGGGGTGGTAAAAACTGTAGTCAAAATTGAAGTACGACACCTAATTCCGTGATTGTCTTCGACATCCAACTGTAGGCTCGAAACCCCGAAACCAGGGGCGGGCTACCCATCTTGCAGGAGCGGGAATACGCTAATCAAAGCTCTTCAGTTTAGAATCTATGTGCGACAAAGGAGTGGCGATTCAATAATTTCCACATATCTGTTTTTAGTTAAATTTGCCTACAAGGTCATGTAATTTTCCATCTTGCTTTTAACAAAAGGACTTTATTGCACCAAAGTTGAGTCACATCCTGTACTCTTAACCCTTTCTCAGAATTTAGATACCTGCTCCTACCTGACCCATTGTTCCCATAAACTTGCTTTTAACCTTGAGTAGGTGTAACCAACATTGTATATATGCATTTACTATCTTTGTTAACACTGCCACAGATATACGTATATCTGTGCTACTGCTTTTTTTTACAAACTATTTTGTTAATTAGCTTTTGGACTGTATTAATCAAACTGCGAGGTTTTTCTTACGTCGTACTCTTTTTACCCTTAGCAGTTAGTTTTGCGAGAGCACGACACCTTTTGGCTATGCTTGCTTTGTTTATATTAATGTACACCAACTAAATTACCTGGCTTTCACAATGTTAATAATTACGATCAATATTAAACAAACTTTTCACAATTTCAGTGTTTTATTTAACGTTCCTTCCCTACTGTGTTTCGGTTCAAAAGCGTTGTCTACAACTAACGTAAGGGGGCTCTGCCTTAGATGTTTTATCACGTGCCACTTTTCAAATTTAAACGGGATCTTGTTTAGTTTTGGAGGGAATAGTCATTCGGCTGGCCATTTTTAAACGTTACCGGGTTGGTTTTTTTTTCGGCTTCTTGTAGTGTAAAGTAGTGTATCACTATAAGGTTGTCGGTGCACCTGCCCATCATAGTATATCAAGGCATCAGCCGTACCCCACCCTTCGACTTTATAGGTGTGTCTGAATTCCTGGGTCGACCCGTCAGATGTTCGAGATAGATTGCTCCGTTCTGAAACATTTTTAACCAAGATGGACAGTGGACCTGTAGGTGTGGATTAAGATGTATTTTTTGACAGGTGAACGTGTAGGGGTGTAGCTACCATAAGGTCAGGTCACTTGACAGTTACGAAAACTGACAGTTTTTACCTCATCCATGTTACCAAGTCCACTTGGTAAGTCACCTGCGACATGTAGAATTGAAAGTTGCACCTGTATGTGTGTACCTACCTTTATATAATATATAATTTTTACACGCCTAATTGTTCATTGGTTACTGTCTTTTGTTACTACCAATCCCAGATGGATTGGCAGCTCACTACGCTACGTACATTCGGCACTTTTCCATCCCAAGGTTTGGTCAGAAAGGCAATATGAGATGTCCATTAAAAAGGATGTAATTTGAGCAATACTTCAGCAATCTTGACCCCAACAGTAATTAAAGAACAACAACCCATACAAACTGTGGATATGTAGAAATGACATATTTCGTTGACCGCAATCATCCAGATAAATTTCATCACAACCAAAATTTGTTTGGGAAGACAATTCAGAACCTTGACATTTTTGACAACTTTAAAATTCCCACATTTTACTTATTTATGCGAAAAAATCGAAAAATCTTAAATTTAAACCTAATATGCTCTCTTTACACGCCTTGATATAAACAAGCACGCGTTACGTCGAGGGAGTGGAGAGTAGTGGATCGGGAGGAGTCAGGAGGATCCTAAATTAGCAACATTTAGTTGTGCTGATGGACTACACTTTCTGGGACAAGGTGGGTTATCTTCAGAGTCATAGGGGAAATGATGATCGATGAAGATGACAAGACAGTCCCAGTGGGAGCATGAACGAAAGGAAGCTAGTGCTTGGATCCGCATATCTCCCAAATGGCCAACCAGGCTTGCCAGCCACCCACCAAGGAATTTAAACATTAATAATATAGCTTTATTGGGTGCTGCAGCAGTTGACAAATACGATTAGGTAGTAATTTAAATTTAAATATTAAGGAAGATGCACATATATGCAATAGGCTGCAACCCCAAAGGCGAAGTTCGTTTGAAGAGCAATACTCTTATGAGATCATGGTGTGGTAAAAAGGGGGAAAACATCGTCGGATGTGATGAAAATGCTCACTACGTCGTATGGGGCAGTACTGATACCAAGAAGAGGCCACGACCCCCATTAAAATAGTACGTAAGGATCACAAATAGCCAATATGGACGCATGCGACATAGGTGTAAACTGGCATGTGTCGTAAGATATCTCTCTCCTCTCTCTGATCATACATTCAATATTAAATCATAAAATTAAATCAATATTAATCATAAAAGTATGGCAGCTTGAGGAAACCGACCGACCCCATATACAGGGAATGTTTTTAATGTATACATATGGGCCACTGTACACTTAAAAAAAACCCATGTTAATGCATGGAATAGATGACTATAGGCAACCAACATTACACGTGTCAAACGAGTTTTTTAAATTAAATTCTTTCTCCCTTCAATATTAAGTCCCTACTCGAGACTCCCTTGCGTTTTACAATAAGCACAAAATTAATTAAATACGCGTTCGTGATGACGTAGTTACAAAAAACATTTAACTTTTGAATACGGGGAGAATTTCATTGCGTGTAGTTGACTGCCTAAAGCCATTTATTCCATGCAATGACATGGGGTTATTTAAAACATACCTAGGGCATATGCATACATTTAAGAAAAATTCCCTGTATAAGGTGTCCCTGAAGAAAATATTTGTGGACTGTTTTTCGAAGGTAAAAAGTCCTGTAGAGATCGAAAGTTTGGAGAATAATCTCTGAACAATTATGATAGAAGCTTTTGAAACCAGCTGCTCGATGAAAAGACAGAGAACCATACAGAAAGTGCTAATGCTGGCATGAAAGAATCAGTTGGATGCCAGCGGAGACTGTTTAATAACATGGCAAAAAGAACATGTGGGTGGAATACATGTTTTAGTTCACTTTCAGTGTACAATAAGCTGTATGCAGTCCCGGAGGGCATTGATATGACGCCCGAAGCAGCAATACTCCAGAATCTTTTCAGATGAACATGAAGGGGTGATTAAATAAATACGTTAAATTAAATAAATTGTACCCTACAGCTCGGAGGGGGTTTTGTTTGGTACAATATTAAACCAGAAGGTAGCAGTGTAGAAAGCAGGAGTAAAATACCCTAGAAATCTTAAAATTTTGTTTAACAAGGTTAATCAAAGGAAATCGTGAGATCGAGTTTTTGAGTCTGAACCTGTAAATATTCATATTAAACCTATAATCCTTAAAACAGAAGCGTGCAATCACAAAGAACATTGCTAATTAAAGATCCAACTTATTTATAAGATATTTATTTCAAAATTTTGTGGAAGTCCAGTAGCCCTACATTCGATTTATTCGTATGCTGATTCTAGCTGGTTTAGAAGGGCACAATGCATAATAACATTCGGCGTAAAATGTTTAGGTTGACCATTAATAAAAGATTTCCATTGGAATGTTTCTGATAATTTTCTGAGAAGAATTCTAAACGAACATTGATATGCACTGTGCGATAGCATCTGTCAAAAGTATCACTGTTAAAATTATTCACAAAATGTCACTAATTTACTAAAAACTCTACTTTATACGAAAACAGAACTATACCGCGCACTGTCACCTCACTTGTTTGTGTTTTAGCTTAATTTAACTGGCATCACTTCATACCATTTCTTTAAAACAAAAGTTTCGTTTCCATTTCTATAACATCATAGTTTATTTACCTAAAAGAATTTTTAACATAAAATTATAGGCGATTATGTATGCAATCATACACTTTAGCAATTATTTTCTAAATGAACAATTTTTACAATCGATTATTATAATCTTAAATTGTAATCAAATATTTCTTTATAAAATTTGTATTCACAATGGCTGCAAAAACCTGTAAAAATTACCACAACGAAATAAATGTTTCATTTTTTAAAAAGTACCTTACTTAAGTAAACTCTATCATTGAAGAATTTTACATGTTGATGGATTGAAAACTATGAAGCGCATTTGTATGGAGGGCATGAAAAATTCTTCACTCTCATTAATATTCTCTAAATTAAAAAAAAGACAAAAATTTCATAAAGAAATTGTTTAATTACTGAAGAACGGTACGAAATGACCATTTTGTCGAACCCGCGCTTCAAAATTGTTCAACTTGCTTATGAAATTTCTTGTGAACAATGAATACAGAAAAAGCGTGAATGCCATTTATACGAACGTAAATGAACATTTTTTATATTGTAATCTCTTTGTACAGTGAACGTTTTTATTTTCAAATCACATCCATTTCGCAAAAGGAAAAATGAGGGAGCGTTTTGTTACAAAAAAATTACTCATATTTACCTATATAATATATACAGCCCTATAAAATAAAAATGAAGACAATAATCGTACGCGCATACTATGTGCAAAAAAATTGATAAATACATGTACAAAACTTTCGCGATTTGAAAATAAAATGAAGAAGCAATTACAACTTAAAATGATGTGATGTAGACATTTCCAATCCACGATATGTATACCTCAAGATGAACTAAACAAACTAATAATGCAATTACATACAATTCATTCATACGCTGCAGAAAAGTCCAGCTCATGTAAAAATAGGTGATTTGTTGGTGGCGATGTTAGTGTACTTCTGATGGTTCTGGTTTAGTGGTATGGTGATTGGCCGGATCCGGCGTACTAATAGGCTGCAACAGAGAATATAACCATTAATTTGAATATTTATGGGAAGATTGATTCATAGTTGTTAAATGTAGGGCCATTTATTGTTTATTTTGTTATTTTTTAAATAATTTAAGTGTTTAAATTTATGGGCACTTTTATTACTTTTGTTAAAAGGATGATTTAATTTATTAGCGATAAGAATACGTTTTAACGGTCAAAATAACAGTGTTTTCTGAAATAAGATAATTTAGCGTGCAAATTCGGATACGGGACGCTAACAATGGACACGAAACGGATGTTTGATTGACTGTTGTGTTGCTATGAGGTCGTTAATCTGAGGAAAATTTTCAAATATTGGAAAGTGGAAGAGTGATTTTAAATACTCAAGTGGGTGTTAGAAGGAGGTTTTGCTAATTTTGCGGCCGAGTTTAAAAGATGCGCGTTCTGCGCTAAATTTTGTGCCAAGTTTGGCTTTTTAGTGTACACAAAGTTGTTCTTGGTAATTTTGTTGAAGTTAGTTGTTTGTCAAGTAAGTTGATAACAATTTAATCAAGAAATCAGCCGTGTTTAGAGTGAAAGTTTGAGTAGATGTGAAATTTAGATGAAGGTGTTTCATTGAAGTTTTTGTGTATTATTCGAGCAGCCATCGTGTTTTGGCCGACCAGTCTAATTCAATGCAGTAAAATATGTTGCTCGTGTCCCAAAAAATTTAAAAGTTTAAGACAAAAAAAGTGTAGTGCGCTAAGATTGTGAGCACGTTTGTTCTCTCTCGGTCATTGCACACAGCAGTATGTATGGTGGTATTTTATTATTACTAGTGAACAATTATTATGTGAGATGTCAAAAGCATTTAAGATTATATACAGTGTCATTTATAGCGAGTATCGAGTATAACGACTAAAGCATATTTATCATACACAGATGAGTCAAAAATATTTTTTAAGCATATAGGTTGTTCCATAAAAGTGGTGTGTATGTGGCCATAGTTTTTTAAATAAACAACAACAAAAGGGAAATGCGCTTCAATCCATTGTGCAATGGAAAGGTGCCGAGCATACTGCTCTACTCGTTTTCTGTTGCAATTCTCCTTGCGATAAAATTACACTTTCTTAATTCTTAAAGCCTTATCTACCATAAAGGATGCAACTTTTTTAGTTTTATTCATTTCTTTTATTATATCTACTGTAATTGATTGTACACAATCACAATTCACTTCTATTTTGATCTTCCAGTCGTATTTACTTCCCACATCATCCACTTTTTTCCCTGGTTATTTTTGTTTCAAATGCTCAGACTTTCTCATATACCAAATTTTTTATAGGTGTCCAAAGTATCATTGACTTTAGCAAGGTCTTGCGTGTTTATGAATCCCGTAAATGTCGACTTAGTTATAGTATTTTACATTATTAGCCAGGTAAGTGAGTTTTTACTGGCGATAGGAGAAGTTGACTGGCGAACCGTCAGGCGAGCCTGTCATCTCCTAGAGCCATTAAAAACTATTACCTGGCGTATAATGTACAATATTTTATTTGTTACTCATTTGTAAACAATAGTAAACGTAAATAATTAGTTCTTAAATTGATCTCGAAGAAATGTCTAAAATATCATGTTATCCATGTAACAGAGACTTCGCATTAATTCTGGCCAATGAAATTACTAGAATACTAACTTGTAAAATTTTTACAGGTCAGCTGTCAGTTTTACAAGTCAGTAGCGTTTAAACATGACGTTTACCCGTTTGCGTTTTGTCTTTTTAATCAACGTTTACAACTGAGTAACAAACAAAATAATAAATGAATAAATCGGCACCTGTCAAGTATTAATTAAATGTTTGCACTTTATTCTCGTTTAATAAATTCGATTTGAAGAAAAATATATTTTATAATCAATACTCGCTTTAGAAAAATGAGTAACATCAAATAAACTAATTACAGGGTAGTTCAGAGGTAAAGTACAACAGTGCCCAATGAAGTTTGACTTTTTTTAAAGTGAGCATAGGGATAATTACACTGTAAAAATGTATGTTCACCTGTATGAGCAAAAGATAATATTGGTTGTAGTTGATAGACAAACGTGCCTCTCCTTCACTCTTAATTCCCAAAATAGTCTATGCCAGGAACAACTCAATTTCCTGGGCGTGAGTAGAGCAAGAGTTGTAGGTAAAAATCCGCCAAGTTTTATGCAAGAAAGAAATACAGGAGTTGTTATGAATCTTGTATGATTATGTGATTATGTAAAGAGTGGTGAAAGGGGTCATCATCCCTCGCGAGCAAAAAGTGAAAGTACACTTGTTTTGTTTGTTTGGTGACTGGGGGCGCTTCCTCTTGATAATGGTAATTTACTTCTTTAGTTCATTACACATAGAGTGATTACATGATCGCGTTGCATTATTTGCTAAATTAATGCCATTATGCAGATGCATTACGTAAATATCAGTAGCAGTGGTATTGTCATTATAACTAATTACAGTCACTGATTGTACTTTTATAATTGATAATTAATTATTCATACCAGATTACATTGCATTTTCCTACGTAAATTAGTTGCTCAGCAATTTACAGTTATCGCTGTAGATAAATGGGAAGCTGCTGTTATTTGAACAACTGGTTTTACGTGCCAACCTTAGATCATATACCGGGTTGTGCACATTAAGTAGGAACATAGGGATTTAACATGGGAAATTAGTTTGATGCAAAATCCTGCCCTCCTGTACATTTTACAGAAAAAACTGTATAGAGTTTAAGGTTGTTCAGAATTAAAAGATGCATACAAACTGTCACCAACATCCCAACCTGCATTTTTATGCCTATCATCTTTTACGTTGACAAGAGAGATACAGCACAAAAGTACGTCGAGTGTTGAATCAGAACATGTTGGCGACATAGTGTAACTGCATCGCTCCATCCATATTAATATGTTAGATCTAAGGTGCCAACCCCATAAAAATTCCTCGTAGGGAAACTCACTTTCACCTTGGAGGTCCGGCACTTTTATTCGCGTATTTTCCTCAAAGTGAAAAATCGCTATCTGCTGCACTTTGTCATCCGTCCATCACACATACTCCTTCTACACCACTGTACCGATTTGGGCCATATGGGGCTCATTTGTAGGGGCTTGGTCTAACGATTCCGTGCATATCGGTATTTTTTGGTTTTGCGCATGCGCAGTGTCAAAAATTTGGATTAGCGCATGTGCAATGGCAATGCTAAAGATATTTAAATGAAACTCTATATGTAAACACTACCAATATAAGTAAAATAAACGACGTTTTCAAAATGTGCATGCGCAATGGCAACTTTCTTATTTATGAAAGCAGTTAAACGAAATATCATATGTAGGCACCTTGAATGAAACTAAAACTAATACCAGTTTCAAAATTACTGTTTACGCATGCTGTATGTTTTATTTATGAAGGTGTGCAATGAAATTTCTAATGTAGACAATGCGCAATGCTACTTATGAAAGCATCTAAAAAAGTTTCATATGTAGACACTTCGAATAAAAGTAAAACTAATGCCCATTTCAAAATTTGCTTGTATTTGTATACGCTCCACTATTATTCACTATAGACTTCGACGATAGGCGGCTCATTTGAAAGAGAATGGGGTGAGGATCTCGTGCCTACCTGTATTTTTTCCTGGTCCTAGCATTAATATTATTGGGAGGAAAATACGTTCTTGTCATTTATGTTTGCCATAATGACTTTTTAAAAAACTTCTATGTTCCAAATGATATACCATCTTGAACTCGAAATTTATTTTAAATCCCCCGCGTCAACACAGATTATTGTAAAGCATTGCTAGCAGCATTACATCTTTATAATAGTGTGCATTTATGGAATAACACCATAGATATTTTTTATACGTCCCTAAGGCAGTTTGCAAGATCGTGTGACAATATTCAAGAACTGTAACAAAAAATGTTCACAGCATATTTTCTTTTTTCTTTTGTTTTCCTGTCTTTTTTTATTTTAATACTCTTAACATATTTTTTTTATATTCCTTATAATTTCGAATATTTTTTTTTAAATTAATACATAAACATTGTTATTGGGGCAACCTGTTATGTTCATAGATAGATAAATAAATAAATAAACTTGTTTATATTATTTAGATGCAGTATGTTCGCCTACAATAATAATAATAAGACGAACGACATACAGACAGACACTAATTGTTACTTGATTTTAATCCGTGTGATTAGTTAACCAGGCTAGACCTTTCTAACAAGAAATACTGACCATAATAATAATAGTGTATTCCATGCGATGTAATACAAGATTACTTCAATCAGGCAGATGGTTAAATAATTTTTGGGTCATAACATTACGACCATTTTGAGATTTGGACAATCTACAAAACGATACACATAATAAACTTTTCAATCTAGAATCATTACCATGGACACTATGAGTTACAAAATTACTAAGGATTGAGTGTATAGTGGAGTGTATCGAAAAGGCATCACACGTGTCCAGATTTAAAATGTGTAGGTATAATTAATTTTGTATCTTTTCCTTGGTTGCTGCAGTTTGGACATCCGTCATCAAATTGTGTATTTCTAATTGAATTTCTTTCGGCATTGCAGGTCTGATGTTAATGTTCACTGCTATTTCTTTTTTACAGAGCGTTACTCATCTTAGGGCGAGTTGTACAAGTCCAGATTGTTGAATAATTGCACTTGAATATTTTTGTTTATTTGCTTTTTTGAAATGAATGTAATGCTATGTAATTGAACCAGGAAATAATGAACATTAATATTTAGCAGGGCAAGTTGTTTCGAATATGTGGTACATTTGATTTCGATAATCTCGCCTTGAGCATTGCTAAGTAGTACATAATCCAGCTGACCACGGAATAAATAAAATTTTTAAGAAAATTCTTAATACATGCTACCCAAGTTACTGGCCCAACCGTAAGATGTCGGTCACGCATTGCGAATACAGATGTGATTACCAATTTATGTTACCATATCGTTCGTCGGCCGTCAAACCCCTCAAACTCAAAACCGAAATATTTGGTATTTTTTTATCCACTTTTATCTTTTGTGGATGTTTCCTGCTTTTTCAATTGCAGTTATTGCATAGTTTAGTTCAAAACATGGAACGACAATGACGCCGCCTAAGAATTGCTGTATACCCGTATGTGATATTATGTAGGCCAAAAAGCATGGATTCCCTGTGAAATATGCTGAACTGTACAAGCTTTTCGATACCCAGCAGCTTTGGTTTCTCAACAGATCCATATAACTTTCTACTTAATAACGGGCGATCAAAAATGAGTTGCTGTCGAGTCGCCTTTGGAAGTTCAAGTTAAATACGATTTTCCATGTAAACAAAAATTTAAAAGGCGACTCGACAGCAACTCATTTTTGATCGCATAGTATATCCTGTTCAAACAACAAAAAGTAAAAACGTGTTAGCTTATTAATGACGAATGAATGAGTTTGGATTGTGTTCCATGAGGTACGTCTTATTATTATTTACACATACAACAGCTTTCAAGTTTTTGATTGATTGTTGTCTTACAACAGTTTGTAACCATTTGCCTACACTTAACTCTGTCTTGGGAAAGATATATTAAACAGGAATTGATCTTTATACCACAGAATAAGTTTATATGGTTCTATTGGGAAGGAACAGAGCAGCCTAAATTTAAACAAGTCACCATTTAATATTAATTCCTGAAGCAACCAAGAGATACATAACATAAAATGTAAGTTGGAAATAAGATAGACCTTTGAAAGAATAGCAGAAGTTAGAAGAAACGACAAAGGATCAAATCAGAAGAAAATAAAAGTAATTTCAATAACACAACAATAAAATTAAGAGGAAGACTGAAAATAACAAAGGGAAAAGCTGAAATATCAAAGTTGTAGTATGTGAAATTAAATTATATTGCTACACTCATGATATTTGTTAACAACTAAAAGCCGGGTTCGATAATATACTACTAGCCTACCTTTTCATACATAGATCACAGTAAAGAATTACCATTTTTAACAATATTCAATTATTCGCAAAAATGTTATCTATCTATCTCGTGGTACCAACCGCACAAAATAAAAAAATTGTTGATTACGTATGTCAACAAATGTTGCAAGCCTGTCAAATGTCGATCCTTTAGTTTCTGAGCCTGAAATCACATCAGGTGAACAAAATAAGATTAAGATCACAGAATCTACACTAGTCTCATGTAGTACCTTATAATAACCATTCACAATCCATATGTTGGTATCTTGCATAATGACATGATAATTAAAGTCACCCAATAGGAATATAATAAAAAGATTCCATCAGAGACTATATCTTAACCAAACCTTTCTCCCATTCCGCTGCATACACTTTAGTTATACTACTATCATAAAACTCAAGATTAATTATACATGAACGTACTTCATGTCAGTAGTTTTTAATATTCTTAACATAATAAATTCGTAATCGACGATAAATGTAAAATGAGGAACCTAGATCTGTAGATTACACATATTAACACATCATTTTTGTCTACAAATGATCTTGATCAGTTAATGCAGCTCTCGATGCAGCTATTCAGTTGTTTTGCATATCCAAAGCGATAAAAAATATTTAAATTTATTTTAATCGCAAATTTAGTATGCCGCAATGCTGAACGGACCAATTTGCACATAATTAATACTTACTAAATGTGGTGGAATAACGGGACCTGCGGGAGGTTGAGGTTGAGGTGTTTGAGGTGCAGCACTGGGTGCGACTGTGTGGGGTACTTCATGTGGTGTTGTTGAATGTGCCTGCTGGACGGGTAGAGCGCCTCCTTGATAGTATCCACCATTTACACCAGCTGGAGAAACTGCAGATGAAAAAGCATTAATTACATATTCCTTTTAGCTATTTAAACATAACTAGCGACCCCGAATAAACAAGTACATTGCTTTGTGCGATCGGTTGATCGACACAAAATCTCACATTAAAGATTGGTCCAGTGTCATTTTCTGTATATGTTTACTCAAGGATTGAGAGGATATGGTTGGTAATTGCAGTCATCAATATTTATCATGCATTCATGAATTAGAGTTTGCTTGGTTTTTGGAAGGTGCACCAGCATTTTAATACAGTTACATAGTGGCAGACGTTGGAATAGACCTCGGAATATACAGGGTGGAAATTTTATCTTGAACACTGAATAAATAAGATTCCAAAATTATAAAAAGTTTGCTACCAATCTACCTACTTAAAATTTGTGATCAGTGGCGTACTTTACATGGTCAAGGGGAGGGGCATATTTCTTTAAATAGTAACCACTCCTTTTTATTACATATTTCGCGCAAACAAAATCGTATTACACCCCAAAACTGAAAATACAAACGTAAAATACCACAGTTTGGGCGGTATTTATGCGAAATATACACACTCTAGCGGAGTCTTATGATGAAATTGACTAAAAAAGAGAGTATCAATACATTGGTTCTTTTTTGAGCCGAATCTTTCATGGGATTCAATTTTGTTGAAACCATACATGCGTCTGGTGAATCATGAATCTTTCCCCAATTGCACCATATTTCAGTGAGAATTGAATTATTTCTGAAAAAGATGTGCGGAGATTTTCATTAAAATGTAAAATGACGTATTTGTGTATATTTTGTATTTCCTTGCATAATTTGTAAGCATTTTCATCGTATGTAAGACCATTGACAAAAGCAATATGATCGCCTCATAGATAAACTCTGCAGCATAAGCAACCAACATGACAATTACATCGGGCTCCGTCAGTTTCTTCAAGGAGGAGATACCTTAATTTGTTGGTTCGCACTTCCAAGTTGCACAATATATTCAAATGTTCGTTGCATATGCTACAGGATTTACCCATATGGCGATCATTACTTTTGTCAATGACTGTACATACATTCATAGTGAAATTGGTAATTTTTACTACCCGCACGTTAGTAAGGGAGGTATTGCATTGAGGTAAAAAATCATGCGAGGTCTCATACGTGTCAGAATATCAAGATTCTACTGTATCTGTATCATATGAAGGTTTGAGTATTAATTTTGAATTTCCCTCTGAAACTATTGCCAATTATTTTTTGTTTTTTGTAACTTCAACTGTATCTGTAATTGGGCGCAAGCCTGTTGAGGGCCCAGAGCAAGAGGGAAAATAAATAAATGAAAAAAAAAAAAATTTAACCAAACTTAGTTCACTCCTATACTTTTCGTAAAATTGGATCCACTTTAACTGGAAGTGACCATAAATTTCAGAACGGTATACCTGGTATACATTTTTGACTTTTATTTTATTCCTGATGCTTTGTTTTCCATAATTTATATGAGGGTGGTAAAACAATTATTTTTAATGCATTCGTTTCATTTTCACTCATAATATCACCCACCAAAATTTTATATTCATACCGCTCATTCTAACAGTCTTCAAAATTAAGTCGGCACTATTGCTAATTATAAGAGATACAAGGTCAGTTAAATTAGAGAACTAGTGTGTTTTTTACGCTGGAAAGAACAGAAAAACAATTGACAGTCGCATTCTCAAAATATCGACAAAAACGCACTTGTTCTAATGGAACACAATGGAGGCATCAAGCTTTTCCTAGAATGGCGAGCAAGGTAAACAGAATATACCGTGAGAATTTTTAACTTTTTAACATCTAACTTTGAATTTCAATAGAATCAAGTTGAGTTTTTTAAAATGGAATGTGAACGAAAAAGGCGTAAGTGCGCGTTGGCCTTAATGGCATTATGTTTAATCAGTACAGAAATACAACAAGAAAAAATGAAACTAATAAATACATAATAAACTAATTCATTAAACAAATTACATTAACTTTTAAAACACTCCACCGTTAACGGCAAGACGATGGCCCAAATGGTCATAACTGTTTATTACATTTCGAACTTGATTTGGAGTGATTTCTTGTGAAGCTGTAGTGATTCTGTTTTTGAGCTCGATTACAGTTTCTACACCAATGTACACTTTGGTCTTGAGGTAACTCCAACCTGGCCTCTGAACGATCCAATGGCGCCCAAATGTAGTGCAACATAGGAATAATGGGCTGGAGCGGCATCATGTTGAAATTGCTCCCAAATTCAAGACTGTAATTGCTGTTCACACTCTTTTCCGTAATAGTTCCAAACAGGTAGCACTTGTTACGTTTCCATTCAAGTAGAATGGACCAATAATGTGGTTTCCAATCATACCTGCCCAAGTGTTAACTTTCTGGGGATACAGAGTTCTTGATGCGTTAATTAGATTATGGTTTTCTCTAGACTAATACTTGCAGTTTTGGGAATTTATCTCACCATTATAAGTGAATGTGGCCTCGTCAGTAAAACAAATTTTATTTAAAAATTCTTCTTTATTTTTTTGACCATAAGTTCACAAAATTGTGTCCTTTGTTCTTGATCATTGTTTAGAAGTCTTCAATACTTATAACATCTGATGATTGACTGATTTCATATTCAACTGCTAGCGTATGAGTGGAGAGTCTTCGATTATTTTCGACTGAAGCTAAAATATTAATTCTTTTATCTTCATCAACTTTGTGTGGTGCTCTGACACATCTCTCATGGGCTATCCTTACACAGCCTGTGTTTTTAAATCCGTGTACTATTCTTGTAATGGTGGAAATACTTGGTATTGGACAATCTGGGAACTCCACATCGAATCCGGCAGATGTTTGCCTTAAACTAGATCCGATGCAGTAGGTATTATACATTATAACTTAAGACCTTCTGCAGAAGCACCTCTAAAAAGCATTATGTGGGTCACTCAGTAATTGGGTGCAAGCCTGTTGAGGGCCCAGCACAAGATAATAAAAAAAAAAATTAAAAAAAATAAATTAGCACCTTTTTCTTATGTTACATTTTAGCTATCAATATTAAATTAAAAATACAGATTTTATGACACTTAAATAATAATAATAATAATACTTTATTATCCTGGCGGAGACCAGCTGTAAGCTGTTTTTCCCAACCAGCAGAATTACAATTTACAATTACAAAATACTGATTGAAAATAACATAAACTAAAAAAGGTATACTATTTCAATAACTTGAGTTGTACGAGACTACATGAAAAGAAAATAAATGAAATCTTAGACGAAGACAGATTGACAAAAATGACAAAGTTTCTCCACGTGTGTACATAATATCTAAAAGAAGTATATAGAAGGTAACATATAGAAAGATTAGGTAACAGAAACTTGCTATACTTAAAGGTCTAATTATTATTCATTGTAAATCATAATTTTTACTTTGCGCTTAAATTGATAGCTATTCAATGATTTGTATTCATCAGGCAGCTTATTGTACAAAAATGCTGACATGTATGTAAACGAAGATTTGTAGCTTTGCAATCGATGTGCAGGTATTTGAATATCGTTTGTATTTCTAAGTTGACGATCATGTAAATCTCTCCGAAAACGTATTTTGGACTGTAAGTATGGGGGCACGCCAGATTTTATAATTTTGTGAATTAAACACAAATAGTGTATAGTCCTCCTATCGTTCATTCGGTAAAGATTCAATTGCTTGAGATGAGGTGTCATCAACTCTGCATATACTTCCATGCAGTTTGTATAATGGACCTATGATCGGCAACAAAAGCCGATCGGTATGATATGAAATCAATGCAGACACACAAGTTACCATAAATCCTGGATTGTACGCCTCAACAAAAACAGAACACAGCGTCCTTGTCAGCTTCTTAGAACATACTCGATCAAAGACCGATTATACAACCTGCAGTCTGTATAAAAAGTACCTAATTATTTTTTTCTCAGCATATGGGTTAATTCGATAGCAGACAAATGAAAGTGTGTTCATGGGCAATTATTACACCCTCTATATTATTACATTTTTGGCTTCAGCAATTTGCATGACAGCAGTTGTCGGTGTGAACTACATGAACACATGAAACTGAACTGTTTTGACAGATGCAAAAATGGCATAAATACAGGGTATTGTATTCACAATAATAAAGTAGGTCATTGTTGCATGATACACCATGTAGAAAAAGTTTTTGTTGGAAAAAATGCGCAATTGAAAATACAGATCGACATCTCCTATCGTTTTTTTTAACAAACCCCCATTATTATTATTATTGAACTTATTCCATTGAACTGATACACCAGATGCCTAGATGACTGATACACACTGTATATCTCAGAATACACTAAAGATAAGCCATTTTCTACCGCTTCACACATCTAGTATCGTCATATACACATATACACGGTGTCCAATTCCAATTAGTACGATACCTGGCGATGCCTCTGACAAATGTTAAATTTTTGAAAAACATTTGTTTTGTATACATGATGCCTCGCATGATGCTCAACAAAAAGTACGCAAAATTAGTCCATAATTATAATAAAATAGTGTTCCATTTAAAAAAGCAAAGTTGTGTCGTCTCATACCATGTCTATGCAGCATTCTGTACACACCAAAATATTTTTGCGTCATCACATTAGATGTAAATTTGTATTTTAACTTTTTGTTTCGTTTTTTTTAAATTTACCTTCAAAGTTAGGGATACTTCCCTGCCCCACCCTGTATATATCACTTCCAACAGATTTTGACCAAACTTTAAGGGTTACTGTAACTCATAAATATCTCGGTAAAGTTCGTGAATCAGCCAATTTCGCCATATTGGAAAAAAATAGCAGACCCTTTTATGTCTTAATGCGGTTAAAGAAATCAACCACCACCTGATAGGCTGAGCCGAAAGGTATTTTACATCACCTATCATTCTGATATTAGCGCTTCCGGATTAGCATGTGTCCAGAATAATATTATTATTATTAGTATTATTGATAGTACAAAGGGTTGGAACATGAGGCCTAACTACGTGTGTATCTAACAATGTGGAAAAATGTTTCCTATGCTCCATACCCATATGCTACTTCACGATGTGCCCCAGGATGATATTTGGGAATTTTTAAATGTCAAAATTATTTTACTCCCTACAAAACGGAGCCTATTTGATGCAAAAGTTTGATTTGTTCTCTTTCTTTCTTTTATGCGAGTGCGCCATTTCTCTTCGCTTTATTGGCAGAAATGGGTACAAAAATAGATCACTTGGTCAGAATACATACACTTTTACCCAATGACAACACCGTAATTGGATTAATTTATTAATCTAAATAAAACTATTTATTGTTTATTTATATCAATGTTACAAAAGATTACTGCTAGGTAAGTGAAGAAGAACTGTTACGAATAGTTTATGTTTATGCGCAATCGCATTTTTGTTTATTCTATGTATGGGGAATTCATTCGTTGTAATGATGTTGAATAAACCACACAGAAAAATTACATGGTCCTTCGAGCCGGATTGATATTCAGTCAGTAGATCAAAAGGTACAAGAAGTTCGCAATTTTACGTTCAATCGATCCATTTTCTGAGATCTACATTGGTGTAAAAGGCAAGGTCAACATCATTACAACGAATGAATTCCCCATATATAGAATAAACAAAAATGCGATTGCGCATAAACATAAACTATTCGTAACAAGAACTAAGAGATTTTTGTAACCTTGTCCTATTGATCTTTCGAAATAATTAGTCGACATAGTTTTAAAAAATATCTTCAATGGTCATCCTGTGCTACCGTCATTCGCCGCCCCCTTCGACCTCCAATTATCTAATTGCTGACCGTTTCTCGTGACTACAAGAAAATTATAAATGAAAGTTCATATTATTTATTAGGTACTTTTGGAGATGTAGTCGCCTGCCATTCTAATTTGACCATCTTGTACACAATCTATAGACCATGGAACAGGATAAATGACAATGTTCTAGCTAGGATATATCGGCATAAAGTAGGGGTCAGTCTCATCCCTAGTTAAAATGTCGAAATTGAATGAAACAAATTAAGACCTTCTCAAAAGACTATCGCACACTAGAGAGGGCGGTGCAATTATCTAATCATACGCATACTCTATATCTAGTACGACGAAGAATCTATGCTGCCAAGTCGAGACATATCTTGGGCAGGTAGTAGCTGTACCAACATAACAAAATGTGGTCCTCTGGAGAAGAAGATGCTGTTTTCATTTTCGTTTTGTGTGAAGAAAAGTCTCAAACAAATAGAAGAAACTGTTGGGTTCATAATATATTTTTAACAAACATAAAAGTGACTTTGTATTACAATCATAAGTTTTTAGCGCATTTTCCATCGAAGTTGGAATAGAGGAAGATATTCCTTTAACCATAAAAATGGTTCGATTAACATATTTTCTTTGGTCCACATAAATATTCCGTTCCTCTAACCGTTTAGGAAGTACTGATCTACGCATGAAAAATGCGCTAAAGGGTGCACTCAGGCTTGCAAGCGATTTATCGCGAATTGCTCTTCTTTCAGAAGATTATCCATATATTAACACTTTGTTAAAGTATGGAGTACATCAACAGGTATAGAAAGGACTACAGGGAATTTCATCACCTATACAGTTGCAAAACTATCCAGAGAGGTTTTTCCAGCAACTTAGAATAGTCCAGTGAATAGAGACAAAAAGAGGGAGGTTACCTTACAAACAGTCCGCTAGTTCTACATTTTTGATGTTTCTAGGACGTTAGTAGATGTTTAAAATTCAAAATGCATAATTCCTCTCAACCGCCGTATTGAAAAAACTGAAAAAAATTGGCACTTTCTGCAGATTTTCGCATAGGTATATCTTCGTTAGGGTGCTTTTTGAGAAATGAAAAAGTCATATTTTCCGGAAATTTGTCACACTTCTAACATTAGAAAGCTGTAATTCAGTGACCATTCTAGGAAACAATTAAGTATCAGAATAAAATTTGTAGGGAATTTAATTACATACAAAATGACCAACAGTTATTTGAAATGCATTTAGAAAAAATTCACATGCAACTGAAAGAGTTCGCTTTGCACATACACAATCCATTTTGTAACATGTGGTTTCAATTAAATTTTAGAAAAGTGGTTCACAAATAAATTTTAATTGCGCATGCGCAATGGGTTTTTCATACATGATTTCAATTTACTTCTAGGTATAAGAAACAGCTCTGGTTAAAATATCAGAAAAAAACGTGCAAAATTAAGATCGTTATGTGCTGCGCATGCGCAGACCAGTTTTTTTTTGGACACATTTCAACTTGATTTTATACGAAGCACCTTCTTTAAGAAAACAAGCATTCGCCCATACATAAAAAAGTTGGCTCTGCGCATGCGCAATTCATTTCTTTTGGGTAACATGTGCATATGATAAACTAGCAGATCCGGTGTACCTCTTATCATCTATCAGTCGAAGTCGCGTCCTGTCCCAGTAAACCTCTTTGACTGGTTTTTTCCCCGATTTTTATAAAGACAAGCAGGCAAGTTTTATTTACATAGAAAACTTTCCAACTATTCCCCAAAGTTTTATTGCAATCGAATGGACAGTTTAGGCAAGCATAGGAGACATTATAGACAGACACACATTCATTTTTATTAATATAGATAAAGTAATAACCATGGCTGCCAACAGTCAATTTTCTATTTCGCTATCATTGCAGTTGACTGTTTCCTAAATCAAATTGGGGTTTAGATTAAAAATTTGAGTCTCTCTGGTTCAAAATGATCCACTTTTTCGGAAGTTGCTCAGAAAAAATTCCTTCCTTGGTGCCAGCTTCGACACCATAATGAACCAAATACCGAAAAAAGTAAAACAATAGCTGTTAATAAAGATCGAGTAACGACACATCAGTGGGGATAGACAGACGGACAAAGGGCCACAATGGCGCATTTTTACCACCAGCACGTTAGTAAAGGGGGGTATTGCATTGGGGTAAAAAATGACCCCCAATTTTTTACGGAAATACAGGTTTTCAGGCACTACGAATCCAAATCAAACAAATCTTGATGATGTCGGTCCGTTTCATTTCTGGCTGAACCGATTGGAAGCAAATTTGCTACACATCTTCTTAGACGTAAAAGGGCATACTCACGCATGCGCAGGTGGTATCTGTGTTAACCACAGCGAATTTTTTTTTGCTATTGTGACTCCACATTGTATCTAAAAACATTCACTAATTATTTTCCAGTTTTGGCTTGAATTTGGAGTTTATACCACTGTTTCAACATCATTCCGAAATTTGTCAGTGAGCGGGTATTCAGTGATAGGTACTGTACATCTGAGATCTAATGTCTTCTACAATTACCACTTTCAACTACTCTCAGTTCTTTCTCCTGCGATATCAGGGTACTGTACCAGTTGTCAGTATTTCATATCCATTCATTTACAATAAGGATATCTTCCCCAAACTTCTCCAGTAGACGGAATTTAATTGTTCTTGTATCGATCTGATGCTCATCCTTGACGCGACTTTTCAATTCATCGAGTAAAAATTGACATTCTTCAGTATCCATCGCCATCTCTACTATGGCATACGGCTGATAGCCTTTCTTAAACTCTGAAGGAACAGTTCCCGTGAAAAATGACGGTATTGTGCATCAGCTGCAACGAGGCCCATGTCAGGAGGAATCCATTCGTCTCCATTTTTCTGGACAGCATTTGAAAAACGATCAAATGACAGTGTTACGCTTTGAAAGGTCTTTTCTTTTTTTAAAAATTCAGCAGTCCCCCCAAGACAGTAATGACCCCGAATTGCAAACATTTCACAACTGATGTGAGCACGCACCTTCCTTGATAGCTGATGAACCAAATCATCCATAACCTCATTGCAAGGTAATTAAATTCCCTACAAAATGTTGTTCTGATAATTGTTTACCTAGAATAGATCAAAAAACTAAATTACAGCGTTTTTAGTTAGGTTTTGACAAATTTTGGGAAAATAGGATTTTTTTAAAGTGAATATCTCCGTAACTATCAGTTCTAGAAACAAAATTTAAAAACGTAAATTTTATTCCCTACATCTATAACATTGAGTATCTATTTTAGAATTTCCCTAATTTGACCATTGTATCTTCTATGGTTTCCGAGATCACCATGATAGAAATCCTTATCTTGGATCAGTGTACATTTTTTTGACAGAAAAATTATCTTCCGGTCCAAAACGGGTCAAGTGATTCGAAATCGGGGTGGAACGCTGTATTTAAGACCAAAATGTCCTAAGTTTTAGGGAATAAAAACAACTTTTGATTCTACACTTGTTTCCCATAAACTCAACATTTTTCCGAGAAAAACTGGAAAAACTTTTTTCCTTTTCTAAGTTTGTTTTTGCGAAAAAAAGTCGTAGGCGTCTGAAATTTGGGGGAAACAGCTTTTTTTATGACAAAAAAAAAGATAATTTGTTGGGCCCATGAAGTTGAGCCGTTTCCAAGATATTCACGATTTTCGGATAAAAAATCTACTTTTTTCATTGTAGAGGGTGGTTCTTACATTCTTATTTCTTATGGGCGCCATATTGGATTTTTACAGGAGGAGATCGAGCAGCATTATAATCTGGTTCAAAAAACTTCAATGCAGAAGAATTTGCTTCAGTTAGGAGAACTGGAAATGGAAATGTTAGAACATAAACTGTGATGATGCGCTATCATTGAATTTTATTTTCTGCAAATGATGACCGAGAATAATCACACCTCATTGATGCAGACTCTGCTATCGTCTGAAAACATCAATCTCCCTCATTTATCTATCTAAGGTCACAATTTTATTGAACCTATATTTATATTATGTGTATTTGCGACATACCTAATTTTTTCAAATGTTATTCGTTATAAATAAATTTTGCAAATTTGCAATATTCCCCTAACGGTTTAAGAAATTTGGGGTAAAGCGTTGGCAGGCAATTCAATAACTTGAGTTTAAGTTCCCTGCTTAAAGCAGTTCATTGATTATGATAACATATGGTCACCGATGCATATTTATGATTATTATTACTGCATATATGCAATAGGACAAATATGGATAAACATTTAAACGTTACCTTCCCTATTGTCAAAGTAATGATTCTTGCATTATTATTTGAATTTCAATTGACAATTTGCATCAGAATAAAGTCTCTGTTACACTCAACCAATTGGAATAGATCCATAAAGAAATATATGGACACAGCCTTACATATACGTAAATTGAATTAAAGGGCAAAATTCCGATTTATTGTTGCCCAGCCCGCTCCATCTGAACAGGCTTCTCTTAAAACTCAGCTAGCATGTTTCGGTATATCTGAAACTCTGAACCAAAACTTCGTCCTGTCTGAGAGGCATGTTTCAGTAAGGCTCAACAAGAATAAAGGAGATTCCCATCTCTACAAAGCAAGCCCACATGCAGGTTCTGTGGTGAGGTTGATGAAACTACCGAGCATTTGGTCTGGCACTGTGACGCCTTGATCGGAGTCAGACGTAGGTATGCTTTCTGCCTCGGTGCATGGGTAAAATATAGTATTTGTTTCTGTTTTAAGAACAGTACGTACGTGGGCCCAGCATAACGATACTTTCTTCAACAATGAGTGCAATTACCAACCACTTTTTCATAGATGTTAATTATGGTTTACCATATCGCTAAGTGTTAGTCAAGCGGGAGGAAGGGTGGTTGGATTTTTGAAGCAAAATTACTCAGTATTACCTGTACCTTCGGGATAAGCGCCAGGTCCCATGAAGTATTCTTTGTTGACGCAGTTACGCAGGCACTCAGGTATACGACCCATAATGGCACGTCGTATTTCGGAAGCAGCCATTTCTCGTAGTTCCGTTGCGGACGCGTCGCTGTAGAAGGCTGCGTGCGGTGTACACAACAGGTTAGGCGCGTCTTTCAAGGGACCCGTAAATACATTGTAAGGTTCGTTTTCGTGTACGTCGAGGGCGGCCGCCCGTATACGACCCTGCTTGAGCGCCGTTGCTAAAGCGTCGTCGTCCACTAAACCCCCTCGCGCCGTGTTAACTAAAAATGCTCCTGGTCTCATTTGCTTAATGGTATACTCATTGATTAGGTGATGATTGTGTTCATTTAACGTACAATGTAAAGACACACAGTCCGACTGAAATAAAAGATCTTGGAGGGTATAGACACGAGTTAGTCCCAAACTTTTTTCTATTCCATCTGGTAGATAGGGGTCGTAGAAGATAACATTAAAACCGAACGCTTTAGCTCGAAGGGCTACGGCGGAACCAATTCTTCCCAGGCCGACGATCCCAAGCGTGTCTCCTCGTATCCTTGCACAACCCTGAGCGGCCTCTCTGACTTGTTCTGGTCCTGTGAACTTCTTTCCCTCTCTGACCATATTTGCTAACCAATAGGTACGTCGGTATAAGTTGAGAATGAGACACAGCGTGGTGTCCGCCACTTCTTCCACTCCATATCCCGGCACATTACACACCGCGATGCCTAGTTCACCGGCAGCTTTAACGTCGATGTTGTCTACACCCGAACCGATGCGCACTATAATACGCAAGGTTTTAAATTTTTCAAGGTCCTCCTTAGTGAGGATTATGGTATGCCACATAAGCGCCCCCACTGCCTCGTTCAACACCTTTTCGTGAATTTCGCTAGTACTTTGCGCGTCACAAAACGCAACTGTCGCAACGTCTTTCAAAATAGGCATTTCGATAGAACAATCGCGCCCATCCAGTAACGCCACGAGTGGGCGCGTCTGCATGGGCCCGTTAGAGATAGGACCGCGTAAATTTTCAACCCTAGGCCTTTTTGCCATCATTTTACGTTTGTCCATTGGTATATACAGTAACTAACTGCATGCAACGAACTTAAGTTCGTTGACAATTTCGAAACAATATCCACACCAGTTCAACTTTTCAGGTTACGCTTCGCGACTGACTGTAGGCTTCATATTGGTGCATGAAGACGACCTGAAAAAGAAAAGGCAAAGATTAAAATCCGTTCGTGCGTGAGAAAACCAAACTTTCCCGTATTTGCACTCGTTGCACAAATCCGGAAAACTGAGGTCTTTTGGCAGCATACGTTATTGGACATGTTAAACCGATTAGGGCGATCGGTATATTAATAAATTCGAAATAAAGAGTAAACGGTTCATAACAAAACGAAGATAAATGTCGTTAAACTAAGTTGAAGCGGTAAACATAGAAGCAATTCGAGTGTTAGCGGAGTTAGTTTCTCGGACAACTACAGTTAAACTAATTTCGACTCGACAACAGGCAAAGTTGGAAACTATTGCACGATGTTTGGTTTAGGAAAGTTGGAACACTGTTTCAGAATATACTCTCTGCTGTCGGCAAACTTCAGATATTTTAATAAATTATTGAACGCGCAAGTTTGGTCGGTCGGTCGACCATTTATATATACAACGTTATCAAATCCTCTAACTTTATGACATTACCATCTTCTCCGTTAATCACTTCCACATCTGTTTATATACTACACACACAGTCGAGTTGCCTTACGGCGAATTATAAGCCGAAAACTTTCGTAGGCCAGGCATAATCGAGGGTGTAATCGATAAGCTTTATGAGTAAACTTTTGCTCTCTCATAAATGTCACGTTCGTAAGCTAATACTTTCTGGAAATTACCTTAAAGCGTAGTCATAATCCAATAAACCAAAAGCGACGTTCCGAAAACGACAATATTAATAATTTTGGAAAGATGAGACGATTTTATAACTGTTTCAATATTAATTAAGCTCATAATCGAGACAATTACCAACAACTTTAATAGATTAGATAATAAGCTCTAATGTGTCAAATTTCGATGACAGGTTTCATACTGACAAATCGGTCTTCAAAAAATCGACTGCAGTATCAGAAAAGTCATGAAGTCTCACTGTCAAATCCTCAAAATTGCGCAACGACGCGCAAAACGAGAGTATGATGATTATTAATATTTAATCTATTGTTGATAAATCGTGGTCCATTTTTCTCCTGTTCGGTACTGGTACCTACTTTGCTAGGTCATGCAGACATTGAGAGAATAGGGAAAATATTACATCATTACGTCACAGTTCATTTAGTTAACTTTTTATGAGGAGGAAGAAAACCGTTTTTACATAAAGCATTTTCATCTTAAATCCACCAAAAATTTATGACAAACGATTCTTGACTCAGTGCTTACCTGTTTTTATGAAATTTAGCTGGCAAACATCCCCTAATGCAAATGCATTTGTTTCAATTGGAAATTGACTATGAGATAAATTTAACGGCTGAATGAAATATCGTAAAAAGGTCCCCATGATATTTTGCAATTATCCCTTTGAAACGATTATAGGTTCGATCAATAATTGCAAGTTCAAAATTTTAAAGAGCTTTCCAGATCAAAACTCCGAAAAGGATTTACCGATTTAAGCAGAATTCCTTAAAATATTACTATCCCACTACCCTTGAATACATACCCATCCCATTCTAAGAAACCACCCCGTACATTCGTAAATAGCAGACGCGTTATCCTAAACTCCGCAACATTTTTGAACAACTTTGCTTTTCAAAAAAAATATCCAACTCCACTGAATTGGGATACCCATTATTCTGAAAAAAAAAACAAACTTTCCATGCAAAGAATCGAACCCGAGCCGCACGGTTGCAAATCAAATATCATTACCAATAGACCATTATAGCATATATTCAATCGTGATTAACGTTCGTGTTCCCAAATAGGTGTGTGGAAGGCTCTATTTTCGCATGCATGGGGATTGTGGACGCGTTTGCCGTCTGCAAATATGCGAGCGGGACATAGGGGATCAAGATGTTATTACCAGAAGAAGCGACTTGACCCGCGGTTTCAACTTGATCCACTTCAGCCACGGACCTGAGAATCTTTGGACCTCTTGACAAAGTAGATGCCACGTGTGGTTGTGTTCGCGAGTTATCAAGCATTGTAAATATTTACAAGGTTTAGTAAATAGTGCATTATGCAGCACACCATGAATGTGTTAAATAACTTCTGCATTTGCAATTTGGCGTTTTTATATAGTTCTTTTACTATATTATGCAATATGTTATGTCTATGGTTAAAATTTCCACATTGATGTCAATACCTCCCCCTTTTCCTTTAAAAGTACCTTCCTTCGACACTTTGTTCTCGAACAGTGAGCGACGAAAATATGCAACAAATTCAATTTAAAAATTTGGTGTAGGGTTGTAACAATAATCAAAACTGATTTACGGACGGACGAGTAGGCAAGTCATTCTCATAATGACGTAGATGGGCTCGGAAAATACTCTTGGTTGATCCATATCTCTAAATGGGGTGATGAACCATACAGGAAAAAAACAACTGAATTCCTCCAAACCTTCCCCATGGTCGTAACATTACACAATTATATCTGTTCGTCAATAATTAAATATCCATGGGGAAGGTTTTTGGGGAATTGAGTTGTTTATTTTCCTGTATGATAGAATGGGCTTTCAAACATATTCATCTTTTGATGAAATGTACTAGTAGTCAGCTCTTAAAAGTTTAATGCTCATTTATCCAAAATGTCCAGAATATGTGTTAAAAACGATATACCTAATGTATCGCACAGCTTTTTCTAATGATTGCTTGCATATATGTACAGGGTGCACCATTTCGGACACTTATAGGGTATCTCTATAATTGTTAATGCTATCAAAAAAGTGTTCTTATTGTGAAACTTAAAATGATAAAATCAAAATTTGAAAATGTTCGCTTGGTTGAAGACATACAGGAGAAAATCAAAAAATTGTCAATTTTAGAATGAACCCATGTTTTATACAAAAGTTTCTTTATGATTGTTGAATAATCTGCCCCTATCCTGTTATACCTTTTAATTCCAACACCCTGTATAGTTTATTCTAAAGAGATAGCATATTAAAATCTCTTTCCATAAATAACTCTAACAAAACTCAAAAATCTTTTTGATCGTTTTAACTTTTTTAAATATTTTAAATTCTTTTTTGAATTTGTTTGAACCACTTGAATTTCTAGTGTTATATGTTTGAAAAGAGAATTTAAAATGCTATCTTTTTAGAATAAAATATACAAGGTGTTGGATTTAAAAATTGAGGTTAGGTCCGACAACTTTTTTGCCCACATGTACTTACTTTGAAAACGGAACAATCATAAAAAAACTTATTTTTTTAGATATACACATACAAAGCGTTCTATTTAAAAAAATGAGGTTAGGTTCGAAAACTTTTTGCCGAACTCGTATACTCATATTATTCAGCAATAATTTCTTTATCTTTTTAAATAAGAAAGTATTGATATTGACATTTTTCCCCCCCCCCCCCCCCCGTAGCTCTTAAGCGGACGAATATTTCTAAATTTTGATTTTACCATTTTAAACTTGACACTTGAAGTGCACATGGCGCCTATTATATTATCAATTACGGTGTAACGTTTTGTAAAAAATGAAATTCCAAATTTATATTCTATTTCGACGTTCTTACGCCATCTGTGTAGTTCTCGATAGATCAATTTTAGCGATGTTATTTGTGTAGTTCTTTATTTTCCCGCTGGAGGTCGTGCAGATGTAGTAGTTAATAAAGTCACTAGATATAGAAAGTACCGCAATCATCCGCCATTTTTGGGCAAATTTGCTGCCAACCTAAAAAAATTGACAAATAAAATTTGAATAGCTGTAGGTTTTTATAACCTAACTTCATATTACTGTCATGTTTTATAAAAATATATACAGATATCTCCAAACAGGTGGAACAATCCCTAACATTAAAGTTACTAGAATCTGGTAACTTCCGCCATTTTTGGGCAAAAATTATGCGTTCTCTCTCTAACACACGAGCCCAATGGATTGCGGTACTTTCTATATTTAGTGACTTTAGTAGTTAAAATTGTCCTTTCCTTGACCTTTTCATGCGTGCATTCCAGATTCGATCGTTTCTTATAAAGAAGATATTTTTATTATTTTTCTTTTCGACTTTTACCTTTATTACAGTTTTAATGGCTGTGGTGAATATTTCTCTTGTTATTTGTTTTCTAGGTTTCACTGACGCTTTTCGTATATATTTAAGAGCCGTTTACGATATGTTCCGACAATTGACTTTGAATAATGGCTTTTAGGCTTTTATTTTTGGCTTATTCATTTCTTCGTTATTATCTATAATTATGATTATTGCTATCTACATCGATATCATACGCAGATTTTGGGTTTCCCATTATTGCACAAGGGAGGTCCGTTGGAAAATTACCACCGCCACCTTAGTTAGATTGACATTGGAGACATCACGTGATACACTACTACTGACCTACTACGAAATATTTACACCTGGAATTTGAATATTGTTCCTGAATTGTAACTGCAAGTATTACGAAACCTTTTGGAGATTATTTCTGTTCTGAATGGCTTCGACCCTTCTGATTTTGCGTCGTTGCGAAATATACCTCTTCCGACGATTTTGTCTATGTTACTTTTGTTGTTCCGAAGATTCATTCGTATTAGTTTTAACTACGTTTCATATCCTTCATATTAGTCTGTTTATCGATATTTAGTTAATTACTTTTGAATTGTACATTTTGTCATTGCCTGTTTGTAAACGGCTGTTGTTTAGTTAACGTAAATTGAATTGTCCTTAATTCATAACAGTAACAGGTAATTACAATTTACCACTTATGTACTTGTACTCAAATTTATAACACATTCGCGCACGGATTTCGCTTGTTATCACCTCGGGATTGACGTTACAATTTCCCTCTAAACACAATTCAATATAGCAAACAATAAACATTTAGAAGGCATACTATATTGAAGAAGCTGCACTTTCATTCGCTTTTATTTCTTACCGCCTGTATCTAAGCCCTTTATCGACATGGCGGCGACTTGATGGCGCGCTGATGTCGCTACAATAGTTGTGTACTTTTTTTTATGGTGAACTGAATTAGAATTTCTGATGGAAACAAGGATATACATGGCTTGCGTTA